AGGTGATGCACGCGAGCATTAAAGGGTATCACGAAAGCCTCCGACTGGTGGCTGCGGGGTGGATTGCAGGTTACAACGCAACACTCGCATTAGGCATATTCGACACGGCTAGTGTTGTCTTGGTGGACCACTGTCAGACGATTAACAATCTAGTCTACTGCTGTAGATCGTCGGGTTTTTGTAACTGTCCCATCGAATATTCACGTCGAAGCAAACATCGGCACATTTCAAGGGTTTTTCCGAATGTAGACAGCTTACCTCTTGTTCACGTTTTTAGGTGCTAATGTTCGAAGTTTATTTTCAATTTCCGATAAGGCGTAGTGGCAAAATAATTCAACTTGCTAGTCTCCTAAATAGTGCCATAACACTCATACAATATTCTTAAACTAAGCTAGAGTCAGCAAGACAAATAAATCGTATTACTAAAAATATGTCGCATGCAGGAACAACAGAACGTACTCAGGTGAACAGGGTATGAATGTGGAGGCTTGCAATTTCGTTGTTCCTTTAACCTGCAACAATTAAAAGAAGCCTTTTTTGAAATCGGCATAATTTTGAGCTCCCATCTTAATGTTCTACTCGTACTAATAAAGCTCCCAAAGCTATGGCACGCGGGCTACGCAATTTAGGCTGATGAAGTGTATAGTACAAGCTGACCCAACTTGCATTACACGCTAAATAATCGTCCAATGCGGCGCTGGTTAATCCAGAAATAGAAATACTCCAGTTTGGAAAAATGGATGGCAAATCACAACACGTGAATCCAAGGCGTTTTTTTTCTGATTCGGCGGTGCAACCCCTGGGACTTCGGTCGATCTACGGGATGCGACCACGAGCCTGGCCCTGTATACCCCGATTTCCCCTCCTGGGCGAAATCCTGGTCATGCCACTGGTCGCAACGTCATTGCGTCTGCAAAATATGACTGTTGGGCCATAGCAGCCACTCAGGTTGTTTCTTTCCGTGTTTTCAAGCGTGACTTCCTTCCGACAAGCAGCCCGCTGAGTCTGCAATATAGCAAAAATTAAGATTCCGTCGTATTTTGGTAGCATTATAGGACTTTCAGAGCTCATCGTCTTCCCCTCGCCGTAGTGGCCGCAGTTTGTACAAGTTCAAGAGGGTGTTGCCGGTCGATTTGGCCAAAACAATTTCAAGGCAGCTGATCATATTATAAGATGACATAATACTTTTCTGAATGCATTCATGCTGACAACTCCAACTTTGAAATGCTCTTAAGTCCGTGAGCTACTCGTTTTTCAAAACGTCATTTAACAATTCAACTGGAAAAAAAAAACGATTGTACACAAAACGTCTAACATATGTCAAGTGGCATAGGTGTTAAAGGCTAAATTTAAATATTGAATACAGGCATCCATCTTTTATCTGTATACAGACAATCTTAAACTTGTAGCTTTGTTCAACTAATCTAACTTTCTTTAAGCTAGTTCGTCTTATAATGGCCATTTGGAAAACATCAGCTGACCAACGTCATCCCGTAAAACCTGTGGCATATATTCAGGTTGGCTTCGTTTTGTTTTCAGCGTTCGTACTGGCTTGAGTCTGGGTGCTGGCGGCGATGACTTCTGGCATTAATTCGGAGGCGTTGACTTTAGGTAAACATGGTAGGAAAGAGACATAAGGCGTCAAGTTTTTGGGGCAAGTGGGTAAGCCAACGTTGTGGAAGTAGAAAGGGTGCCGAAATTTGCGATATGGTTGATCGGATTATGCGTGGTGCAGTATCTGAAATCTGGTTTTGGCCCTTGGGGGAGAGAACAAAAATATCGAAATCGCGGCTTGTAGTGAGAACGAAATAACTCAGGTGAATGTGCAATACATTCAAGGCAGGCACTTAAGAGCATTCTTTGGCAGCAGGTGACAGTAAGCGACATGCTCAAGCTGGTCTCAGTGATTGCCAAAGACTTGGAAATTGGCTGCTTGCAGTGCTTGAACTTTCTAGCTTCCTAAGTGCCTCCTCCCTAAGTCCTATGCTTGCACCTACTGTATTTTGTAAGCTATTGAGCTGATAGAAAGTTGTTGATATTGATAATTCTATTGTAAAGGTGTCAGTCCCAATAAAGGCTGATAGAAGCAGGTGCCTAAAATGTTGTGCACCTGTTGCACCATTATCTGGAGCACATAATGCTAAGTTTATGATTGAAAAGTCATATGAGCCACAGCATAAATAGGAGCATCTTGGGCATTGTAGTAAGTGCAGCTACATTCCAGCCCAGGTACAATTTTTCTCACCCAGAGGGATATTTTGGGGTAATGTGATACCAGCCTTGGCTTTTACTGACCTGAAACAGCAAGCAGTATCCCTCGTTCAGTCGTGAGTGTGGTGTGCAATGCTGTCAAAGTTGCAGGAACAGCTTGCCTCCATCTGATGTTGTTCACAGAGAACAATTTTTAACATTCTTTCCAGTATATATGTGTGGAGAACAAAATGTCTTGGGGCTAAAAACACCAAGAAAACCCAAGGTTCAGACACTGTCTGTGGTGCCTGAGGCACAGATCAGACAGCAGACATTCATGTTATACCAAACCTTTTTGGTGATTCTGGTTACCCATTGCTGCAACAGGTTGGGTGCATGTGTACCATCAATCCAACATTCCAGATTTAATGCACATCTTCCACTTGTTCCAGGACATAGTCAAATCCCATGTTTTAAGGAGTTAAGATGAGTTGTGTGCTGTTTTGTTGATGAAGATAGTGCTGTTGATTAGGGTAATTTTAGAATCAAATGCTCAAAAGCATTTTGGAACTAGAAAATAGGGTGAAAATTCAGCACAGTCTGTGATTGTCAGGGTGACTTTTGCAGGTGAAAAATGCATACATTTTTTCAGACTGGGCTGCAGACTGGTAGGATTACCATAGTGGTCACTACTCAAATTAGATCAGAATAGTCTCGGGGTGTGCTGTGCTCCTTTTGTCTTAAATCTTGATGCAAGTTTTTTGGTTATATGCTTGGCAAGAAGACAGGAACCTAGCCTAGATGAGCCCTGTTCATGCTGCATCACATTCTGCTCTTTGAACTGTTTCTTGTTGGTTATAAAACTTACAGGCCATACAGGAAGTACCTATGTGCCTTTCCTCCCAGCCATTTTACTCATACCTTTCACTATAAATTCCAGAATATGGGTGTAAAAGATAGATACAAGGAGTGCTAATGACATGTCCAAATACTTTTCTGTGGCCTGTGTACATAAAATAATAACATGAATTGTTGTTTTCAACAGGGAAATCCACAACCTGCGGCGAATCATGGCTACCACAAATATTCAGTTTTCACTCAATGTAGTTGAGATAGTGGTGCTGCCCCAAATATCAGGCTCTGGGGCTGCCTCAAGTGCCTTGTTTTTGTGCCAGCCATGACTTACAGATCCATCAGGAAGCAGTTATTTGTGGGAACAAGGTGTTGTCCAGTATGCTATAGAAATTTGATGGAAACATGGCATAATGTGAAGCAGGAATGTGCTCTAGGAGGGGAAATATAGGATCTGCCCTATATATGCTGGGCTAACTATCACTCTCAGGTCTACTAGGTCAGAATATTAATTGTAAAAGCTAAAATTGGGAAATTGCTCATTACCTATTTGCATATGCCTTAGCTGATGAGAGCACCAATCCAGTCCCAATAGATTGCTGTTTAACCCTGATCATGCCCCTGCCCAAGGCTATGGCTAAGTCACCATGTCCCTGATTGAGCTAAAAGTGTGAAGCTGGATTCAAAACACCAATAGTCACATTGACAGGGTCTTATTAAAATTGTAGGATGATGTTGGTATCAATGAATTGTTTGTTGAATGTGCCAATCACTAAAAGTTCAGGTGTTATGCTCAGAACAGCTTTTGAACTGCTCAAGAACAAATCATGGGTGTGAAAATGGTTCTCTAGCCTCACTGTCCATTGGTGATGGAAAATGGGGCAGTGAGTAATGTCATCTCCAGAAAAATACAGTTGTTTTCCACAGCATTAGTTTGGAAAACAGTCAAGATGGTCCTTCTCTCTTGTTCCTGTGGAGACCTGTTGCCACTGTTTCATATAGGGTAAATGACAGTGTATATGCCAGTGGTTGCTCTGCCACTGGCTTGGATGATGCCCATGGCAACAAGCTCACTCATGTGAGGATATTCATGGTTCTTTGCCCACTGACAGGTTGACTCAAGATGCGCGTTGAACGTGGTAAAATGTGTCGTGCCACCTGGGAGGCGCTGAAGGCTCACATTATGCGCGACAGGAAACGAAAACGAGATGGTAAGTCATGCACATGTGGCCTGCAAATTTGTCCTTTGGACATTGGGACCAAAGCTCACATACCTGCATCTGCGGACCTTCCCTTGCCCGAGGCAGTATTTTATGTGAGTATTCGATTTTGCGGGATCCATTCCATTCTGAGGCATTGTTTGCCACCTGTTACCCAAGTCATCACAAGAAAACAGCTGGAAGCTGCAGTCACAGCCATCTGACAAATGACAGAGCACGTGCGGCATACGCTCACCCAAAGACGGGTCATCTCGAGAACGATGCCATGCGTCCAAACGAAAGTGGGTCGCCGGAGTATGCAGCGCTGCAGTCCAAGCACATGGCAGGCTGCATTCCACTTGCGGCCACGAAACACCGCAGCTGCAGCTTAGGCAGTACATCAACGTCAGTGAAGCTCTTCTGCACCACGCTGCGGCCTAATCACCACGTGTTTTCACCCTGACTGGGTTTTGTCTTGTTCGCGATTCTGCTTTCTTTGTTCTGTTAGAGATGCCGATAGGGTAGTGCTAAACGCGTCTGTGTTAACCACTGCGCGTCTGGGAAACCAGAGGCACGGGGTTCGATTCCCCATGGTGTCCGCCCTTACTCCCAGTGTGAGAGGCAGGCGACGCCACATAGTCTCGGCAGCTGAGCGCATCGTAAAGCCTCAGCGACGATGATGCGTTATTCTGTGTTCGGTTCCGAGCATCCATGTTCGTGTCATGTCAACAGCCTGCAATAATGCCAGGCACGTGTGTGAATATGTGTGGAGAACACATGTACATGTATATTTGGAGATCTCTTGATGTGCCTTCTTTGCATACAAGTTACCAGTTCACTGTCACCAGTCGAACGCTGGCACCCGATCTAGCGACAAAACGCCTGATAGTTTGGTCCGCTGCGCTCCTCTCCCTCTCCCCCCTGTCGCCAATGACATCACGTGCACGGTGGTCGTCAGAAATGGAGGCGGACGCCGAGGAGGCGAGGCAGAGGCTGAAGCGCGAGCAGCTCAAGAAGCAGCACACCTCCACGCTGCAGGACACGATAGCCGAGAGTGCTCAGGTATGGGCCGTACCTGCCCAGTTGCCGACCGGGCCGCTGGGGACTGGCAGGCAGGGGGTCGCGGCCGGACCTGTCCAGCCGCCGACCGGGCCGCTGGGGACTGGCAGGCAGGGGGTCGCGGCCGGACCTGTCCAGCCGCCGACCGGGCCGCTGGGGACTGGCAGGCAGAGGCTCGCGGACTGTACCTGCCCAGCTGCCGACCGGGCCGCTGGGAACTGGCAGGCAGGGGGTCGCGGGCCGGACCTGCCCAGCCGCCGACCGGGCCGCTGGGGACCGGCAGGCAGGGGGTCGCGGGCCGCCGACCAGCTGGGGACCGGCAGGCAGGGGCTTGCAGAGTGATCTAAGAAACTGCTGCTTTTGCCTGTGCTATAGAGGAACAGTACTAGATACTTGCACTTCTGAGTGCCTTCTCGTTGTGGAAGCCTGCGAGCATGACTAAAAGTATATTTATTTTACAGTAGAGCTCATTAGATCATTGCAGTATGCCATGGTCCAATGTGGTATTGCAGTATACAGTGGTGCGGATTTGGTGCAAGTATCTGTTCACAGTTATTGTTTTGAAAGCTATATCTAGTGCTCGATTTGCGGTGTGTGGCTGTCAACGTTCTCTTAAACCTTTCGATGTGTACTAGCGCTGAAGCAAACTTTATTTGGTGCGTTTTGTAAAGGTGGCTCGATACCACCCACACTGCTCGGCCGGAGTCTGAGTTGTGGCTGTGCGGACGAGATCCTTCCCGACACCGCCGGCTCTGACCATCAGCTGGAGACCCGGCTGAAGGAGCTGAAGACGGAGAAGCACGAGATGTTCATGAAGCTGAAGAAGGTGCTGACCGAGGACGAGACGCGGCGTCGGCAGCAGCTGATGAAGGACGCGCAGCAGACGCAGCACGGCCCGCCGCCGGCCATGCAGCCGGTGATGCTGCAGCCTCCCATCTCTCAGCACGGCTCCGGCCGGCTGACGCTCAACAAGCACCCGGCCCACCACCCGTCGCTGCTGCAGATGGTGCGCTACCGTCCTCCGCGCCCGGCGCCGGCCTGGCGCCGCCGCCGTCTGGGCTGGGTCCAGACGCTCGTTTGCAGGCGGGGCTAGGTGTTTGAGCTGCGTTTTGGGCGCTCAGTGACGCAGATGCTCGGGCCACAAGCTGGGCGTCATGGTAATGCAAGGCTGTAATCGTCGGGGAGCCAAGCGATTGCCGTATGCACGCGGTTAGGGTGCCACACATTATAGGTCAAATTTTATCTGTAGATTTTCAACGGCCCTGAGCGCGATTATAAAGCTGAAGAAGAAGCGCGTAAACGCAAAGTTTTAATCCGCTCAAAGAATGGTTAGGGGTGTAACTTCGACCATTTCTGTCGTACTGTGTGCGAAATAACGGAGTGCTCCAGAAGACATATATGGAAGACATTTGTGGTGCTGCAATTATGCCACGCGGACACGTAACTTGACGTGATATTCTTATAGCATAATATTCTTGCGAAAGCGTACCAGGGCGCGTTTTGCTTGATAGCCGCCGACCGGCATTCATGCGTTCGAAAACATGTCATATGGTTGGGCCGACACCATGCTTCATTAATCAGACCTCGCTGTGCGGTTGACGCGGGATCATGTCAAAATGGCCGCCACACGCCCGGTGAGGTCAAGATCGATCTAAGCCGAGTTATTGCTTGATCACGGTAAAAATGACGTGTGCGGTTTTCTCAGCCGGCCTAACGCTCGCACCAACAGCTGGTGTGAAAATCAAAAGTTTGTGAGTCGTGTCCTCCTACACGGGATCGTACCTGGGCTGCCGGCCGTGCGGCGCCAATGGCTGCCTGTACTCCGGCCGCTGCAGACGGTACGACCGCCTGCGCGCTTGGCCAGCAGTCGGCGGCGCGCGGACGGCGTGGCGGCGGATGTGGACGTGCGACTGATGGCGTGTGTGGTAACCTCAGGGCATGAAGCGGCCGCGGAGTCCGACGCCGCCGCCGTCTCACCAGCAACAGCAGGCGTACCGCCACGAGTACCTGTACAAGGGCCAGCCGCTGCCCTCCAGTGAGTGCCGGAGCGGTCTCCGCTCGCCGGCGGGCGCCGCCTCGTGATCGCGCCTGGGGGGGTGGGGGGGGGGGGGGGGGTTCTGAAGGCGGTTGCGGCCAGCACGGTTAGCGGCCGCCGGCTGGAAGCTGAGAAGTCGTTAATCAGCCTTCAAGCAGAAAGTCTTGTCAACGGAGTCTGTGTATCGTGCCGCACAGCCAACCGGTCTGTCTGCCGTGTCTTATCTCCAGCAGTCGCTGATTTGTGTGTGGATGCGCTACGTACGAACGTTAGTGCGCGTGACGGCACCCGGTATTTCTGACCTTACCTCTATGTTCACCAGTGAGCTACGGCACGCTGTCGCCCCCTCCCCCTTGTCGGCTCAGTCCCTGACCGTGACTCTTCTGTTCACCAGTGAGCTACGGCCCGGTGTCGGCCGGCTACCCTCACGTGTCGGCCCCGTCCCTGACCGTACCCCTATGTTCACCAGTGAGCTACGGCCCGGTGTCGGCCGGCTACCCTCACGTGTCGGCCCCGTCCCTGACCGTACTCCTCTGCCACCAGTGAGCTACGGCCCGGTGTCGGCTGGCTACCCTCACGTGTCGGCCCCGTCCCTGACCGTACCCCTATGTTCACCAGTAGGCTACGGCCCGGTGTCGGCCGGCTACCCTCACGTGTCGGCCCCGTCCCTGACCGTACCCCTATGTTCACCAGTGAGCTACGGCCCGGTGTCGGCCGGCTACCCTCACGTGTCGGCCCCGTCCCTGACCGTACCCCTATGTTCACCAGTGAGCTACGGCCCGCTGTCGGCCGGCCACCCCCACGTGTCGGTGGCTTCCGTGGCCAGGGAGGAGAGCCATCACCCGGTCTACATGGCGCCTTCGAGAGGTCAGCGCACCGACATTCGGTCACGTGCTCTCTGTCTCCCGTGCTCGTTTCGCTGCCTCCCTTCCGTACGCTCCACGTCTTCCATACCATCATCGACGTCTTGTTTTCCATCGCGTCCGCTTCGTCTTGCTGGTGGACCAGCCCGTGCTGAGGCGAGCGGCGTTGACGTGGTGTCTGGCGTTGCGTCGGCGTTGATGAAGCCTGCAGCCCGGCGCGGTGCAGACCGACCGCGGCGGCTCGCACCGCCGGCCTCGACGCCGCCCGCCTGACGCCGGCTCGTTCGCAGGCTACGGCATGGCCTCCCACAGCGTGATGGACGCGCCGCCGCGCGAGAAGGGCGACTACTACGGCGCGTCGCACCGGCAGCCATCGCACATGGGCATTCGCTCCACACCCATCCTGCCCGTGCAGCAGCCTCAGGTCAGTCTGGTGCCGCGCGCCCGCCGGCGCCCAGGGCGCGACGGCCCAGCCGCAGCGACAAATGGCATCACTTGTGCAGCTGCAGCGTCCCGTCGCGAACGATGTCGGACATTTCTCCCCGAACAACGCTCTCTTACGTTGCCAGCGATGTTTTGGCGTGCGCTATTGCTTCCTAATGATGCTGTCTTGTGATTATATCTTGTCTTTGCTCTCTGATGGGCTGCTGTATCCTGTTTGATCCCGAGAGCAGTCGCAGGCAACAGTTGGGTAACACGGTGATTGGTCAGGCGGCGCCCGGTGACACGCTCGGCCGGCCCTAATCCGGCGGGGGATGGTCTGCTTTCAGAGTGGCAAGTCCGGCGGCATCACGTCCGGGTACCCGGTGCGGACGGTGGGGCCCGGCGCCTACCCGCCAGCCAGCGGCAGCTCGCCGGCGGTACGTGCCACCAGGCCCAGCCCTTCTAACAGGGGGGGGGGGGGGGGGGGGGGGGGGGCAGTGCGCCAGATCTTTATTGCGCACAACGGCTGCCGTCGGTTCCGATCGTCTGCCGCTTGGGAATCTTCGTTTGCTCTGGCATTTTGACCTCTTCGCAATGTTCACGCTGTCCTTTCTGCGAGACGGTGGCGTGCCCGTTGTCATTGGGGCTGTACGCCGCACTCAGCAGCTGAGGCCATATGACGCCGCCCACCTCAGCCCGGCGGGACGGGCGAACAACCCGGAAGTCGAGCCCTCGTAACCCTGGTTGCCCAGGCGCCCAGTGAAGCCAGTGCGCCACCGGTACCCTGGCATGGTGATGTGTGTTCCCCTATGTGCTACCCCAGAGCGGCGCGCGCGACTCACGCCCGCCGCTCCGTCTGTTTGCCAGGTGCCGACGAGCCGACAGGCGCCGCCGCGCTACTACTGATGGTCAGCGCCTCTGGACCGGGCCACCTGCTCCGGACCGGACCGGACGGGTGCTGTCGCCTCCTCCCGGCAGCCGACGGCGGGCCCGGCTGCGGCGACAGCCCGGCACCGGCCGACCGAGGGCCAACCTGTGGACCGGGTGTGATCAGGCCCGGCGGACCTGGTCTCGTGCCGTGGTGGCGGAGGGGGCGGAGCTGCCTGGGCGGAGGAGCAGACTTAGAGTGGCGGTACTGCACGCCTCCGGTGCGGCTCGTTGCCACTGGGGTCATGACGATGTGCATCTGATTTCTGAAAGTTTTATCCGAACCATTTTTGAGATGTGTGGGCTTCATTCCTATGTGATCGAATCTCTCAGCTGGTGCTGCACACAGTTCGAGGTATTCTTTGGATTGTGACGGAGCTTCAGTAAGAGCTCACACGTCTGGTCCCACCTTTTCAGGATTAAGGTGAACCAAGCACCGCTCGTTTTTATCGTTGTGACAGTCTACTAGTTTGTTTCGTATGCGAATCGGAATGACAGCACGCTTAGGGAAGCGTGCGAAGCTGTTTGAGCGTTTGTCTCGACTTGACTGAATGAGATGGGCCCTAGGCTAGTCTACGCGAATGTCTCAGAATACATCAACGTGTGTTTGATACTGGTCTGGAGCAGAAGTACCATTGGTATGCACGGCCGCTGTTTTGAGCCGTCTCCGAAAAACAACACGCAGTGTCACATGCATTGATGTTTTTCACTCTAACGATTTCGGAGAACGAGTGCGCTAAAACTAGATCTCAAATTTGTGACCATCCCCTAGACAGGGCCCTTATAGCTCTTATGGCGTGGGGTGCCGTTGGCAGCGTGATATCACAGGTCAATGACATCGATGAACTGTCCGGGCTATCCCTGCCTCCGACGTCATCCTTTTCCTCCCTGGTGTACACTGGTTCCAAATGTGTTCAGGGCGTATCAAATACAGTGATTCTTTGAATACTCAATGTCCGGCTCACCAGTGTGTTAGGTACGATTTCGCCCCGTCATCACCAATGAACATGCCAGATACGGACGACCACAATGTGGGGATGGACATCATTGTGAACGAGCAGTAGGTTCAATCATTGTGAAGGCCAGGTGATGGTGCTGGCCGTGTTCCAAGACGAAAATAAGAGATGAAGCGTACAAAGGTCCCATGTAAAGGTTCAGTCATCCTGGTCCGTACCCCAAACCATTCGCGTGCGCAGATTCGTGGGCGATTTTGGCTAGAACGCGGCGCACAAGTTACGGACAGGTCCCCGGAAATGCAGCGGAGATCTAGGTGGGCCTGTCACAGCGCCAGGCTTTCCGCTGCGTGATTCCTTCAAACTTCTGAGCAGTGAGTGATGAGAAAGATGCCACGAAAGGCAGTGAGCGCTTAACTGCACTTTGGGGATGTATCGGCGAGTGTTTTGCGCTGTGCGGGTGGGGGGAGGGGAGGTCGTTAAAACTGGCTCGTCCGTCTCGACTCGAAGACGTATGATATGGCTGGTTTTGAGTGTCCTGTTGACCAAGAGCGCCGTCCGTCGCGCCGAGGCCAACTGTCGGTACGCTGTAGGTAGCCTTTCGCTGGAGCGCGCACAGACACGAAACCCCGGCAGCCCTACCCACAGAAGCGCGCTGTGCAGAATAAGCGGAGCCTTGCGTTCGGCTCCATATGACAACTGCTTTCAACTTGAGTCAAATGTTCGGACCATGACACGCTAAACTGGTCAGTCTCTAATAACAGACATATGTCAGTTTGCTGTCAAATACAGGGTATCCCAGGAAAAACAGACAGCTTTGAATCGTTAATATTTCAAATATCCATGCACATTGCGAACGCGAATGACACGCTGGGCAGCTGGTCAGCCACTTTCATCCAATGCGCCAATTTCCATCGATGCAAAGAGCAATCGATGCTAATTTGAATCTCTGCTGCGCTTTAAGCCTGCCCTTAGCTCAGGTGGTGCGCCACGCGTCACACGTGACCCCCGTCTCGCTCCAGCCACCGAACTGCCTGATCACTCTCTGCTGACGTGACGGCGTGGCGAGTCTCTGGTTTCACGGCTTTCGCAACCAGTCCTGTCGCTTTTGCCGGGTCCGATTCCAAGCCACACAACGCTTGTTTCGAACCGCTTCACATCGCCTGACTTCCAGTCGATGCACACCATTGGCTGTGCTGAAGCCAGAGGGACGAATAACGCCTCGCCCTCGAGTGTTGATGACGCACCAGGCGGCGCGCTCTCCGCTGTGCAATGCTGCTCGGCGAGCCTTATCGGAGACCAAACACGATTTTGAGCTGTTACAATAAAGCTAAACCGATGCTTGATTTCAAGATCTTGGGTACGACCTAAAACCCCTAAAACCGAATCTGGTTGACGAATTATGGTTTAGATTCTCGCTGCCGTAGAAGCCAGGGTGCCAATAGAGGAGTGGTTGACGCACCTGCGTTAACCAATCCGCGTCTGAGAAACCAGAGGTACGGGGTTCGATTCCCCGTGGTGCCCGCCCTACCTACCTTGGTAAGAGGCAGGCCAAGCCATATAGCTTCAGCAGATGAGTGGGTCGTTAAGTCTCAGTGACATGGCATAGGAGCCAGCCGCGCATGTGCGCGTTATGATCTGCTGGTGACAATTTCCAATGTCGCTCACTTTGTGTGCCAGCTTCAGGTCTTATTTTGCCACCCGAACGCAGCGGTCTTGTTGCAGCCCGACTCCCGCCCGAGTCGACGGAGAGCGGGCGTGCTCCGCAGCAGACCGCCCGTGCTCTTGCAATATCGGCCGTGGTACTTCGACGTGCTTTTGATGGGCTGCATTTGCCTGCGAAGTTTTCAAGGCTGCTCTCCGCGACAAACTCCTGAATGCGGCGAGATACTACCTTTCTTGCCCTTCGCGCTTCGAGCTGCTGTTCAAATTTCTTCCAGTCTTGGCAACTGGTTTTATTTCCAAGCATAAAATCTTTTTTTTATTTTCTTACCCACTGTGTTCGTCGCTCGGCAGCACGGTCCCCCGCAAATGATCAGCACTCTATTATCTTGGAATTGTTTTATACAAAAAAAAAACAAACACTGAAATCACCCTTACGAGGTGAACGTGGATGTGGTTCCCCTTTCCCATACGGACCACTATTCCGAGAAGATACGTGTTTTTTTAGAGCGGGGGGGGGGGGCAACCGGCACGATGAAGACGAAACGCGTGTAACGTTGGACTGGAATCCCCGCCCGTGCATACAGGCCTGCGAGCTCCCACAGATTTTGCCCTTTTTAAGTGCATAATACACAGCTGGAGGCCATGTAGCCTTCTCCAAAATCATTACCAACACAGCGGTATTAGTTATATTTAAAACATCTTTGGATGCAAAAATATGTGAGTAAAGGCAGACATATGGGGCTGCGGAAGACTAGCAGCATAGAAATATCGGCCACGCCTGAGTTACAAAGGCAAGAATGACATCGCCGGTGTCATTTGGCCTCACCAAGGGGACGCGCGCGCAGGACCCAAAACATGGTCCACGTGCGCCTCTCTCCAGAAGGCACAACACCACTTGGCAGCTGACGACAGACACTGTACACAAAGGCACGTACGTACAATTCACGGAGGCGCGTCGTGCCGACGCCCGGCGACACAGCGGTCCCGAGCCACACCCCCGCACTGGGCCGCACTCGGCGCCCGCTGTAGAAGCAGACCGACGCCACACCCGGCGCCTGGTCCGTTGACCTCAGCCGAGGCCGAAGGCGCTGTGACCCTCGGCGCCAGTCATGATGACGTCCACCCAGATACGCATCGCCTCCGGACTGGGCGCCATCAGGAAGAAGGTGCGGCTCATGGTCTTGACGCAGAAGGTGGTGTTGGGCGCGCTGCCGCGGCTCGCCTTCAGGTGGTCCACGTACACCTCCTCGATGGCCTGGCCGCGCGGACAGAGGGACCCGTCAGACGAAACAGGGATGACAGGGGAATCAGACGGTACGGGGACGGCAGGAGAGTCAGACGACACGGGGACGGCAGGAGAGTCACACGACACGGGGACGGCAAACGGCACGGGGACGGCAGGAGAGTCAGACGACACGGGGACGGCAGGTCCGTCAGACAACACGGGGACGGCACGAGAGTCAGACGACACGGGGACGGCAGGAGTCAGACGACACGGGGACGGCAGGAGAGTCACACGACACGGGGACGGCAAACGGCACGGGGACGGCAGGAGAGTCAGACGACACGGGGACGGCAGGTCCGTCAGACGACACGGGGACGGCACGAGAGTCAGACGACACGGGGACGGCAGGAGTCAGACGACACGGGGACGGCAGGAGAGTCACACGACACGGGGACGGCAAACGGCACGGGGACGGCAGGAGAGTCAGACGACACGGGGACGGCAGGAGTCAAACGACACGGGGACGGCAGGAGAGTCAGACGACACGGGGACGGCAGGAGAGTCAGACGACACGGGGACGGATTCGGAACCATTTCGAACTAGTGCACGCAGAACAGAACATAAAACAAACGCCTTGCTCCCCGGCGTGGACTAACCAAGCCCCGTCCAGTTCAGCCCTGACCCCGCCAACGTCAGCGTGTGCAGTTTACACACCGTCAAGAGAGCGCGTGAAGACACGGCAGCGTATGATGACGCGGCGCTTGCTTACTTATGATTACATGGCGCTAAGGCAACAAGCAGCAACCAGCTCCTCAATGACAACCGTCACAGATAAGCGTCTTCACAATGATTCTCGGGCGTTTTTAGGGACACTGTCACACGGTCCTGGACGAGCTGCAGCACGATCGACGTAAACAATGACGCCGCGGGCTGAAATCGCCATCATCACGTGGATTTTCCCGATGCAAAATGTTGATAGCCCTGTTGCAACAACATGACAGACGCAAACTATCCTGTTACCTGCCTCATCGGGCATAGAACACAACGCAGCCTGTATGCACAGCTCTTGCCTCCCGTCACTTCCGATCGGGAGTAAATGCGGGCCAACCTGCCCGGCGAATTACCTGGAAATACACTCCGCCCTTGACCTTGCTCTCCGACTTGTCAGCGTAGTACATGAACGTGCGCCGGTTTTTGCTGCGGTCGAAGACGAACCAGCGCTTTTGCCAGGACCGGAAGCGGGAGCTCAGCTTGTGCAGGTACCCGCGGCACACGTGTCTGCTCACCACCACCAGCGGGCACATCTCCAGCTGGTGACCTGGAGCACCACAGGGCACGGTCAGCATCAGGCTCGACCTCGTGGTGGCATCACAACCACGGCTGTCCTCCGCTGCAGGGGACGTGGCGACGCCCTATAATCGCCATGCGGACCGACCGCTCACGATGAACAATGCCACTATCCACTAACGTAGCGACGTGCCGTGCCAGTCCATGAGCACGTTCAGATCGCTGCCGTCACTGGCAGTCGCTGGCCGGCAGTGCACCCACGGCCCGCCTCCGGTACAGCGAAACCCGGCGCCTGACGGGCCGCGCCGGCGGGACAGGCGCCGTCACTGCGGTGGGCGCGCAACACCGCTTCTAGGCAAGGCAACTTCTACTGGGTTAGCTCGCAACGCATGAAACCACCACGAGCATCAGTGTGAACACATCCTGGTGGCAACCGGGACAACGACAGACATCCTGCGGAGGGAAAGGAGCCACACTCTCTCTCTCTCTCTCTCTCTCTTCTCTCGCTCTCTCTTCTATCTCTCTCTCTCTCTCTCGCCTCTACTCTATCGTCTCATGCTTCTCTCTCTCTATCTTCTCTCTCTCTCTCTCTCTCGCTCTCTCTCTCTCGCTATCCTCCTCTCTCTCTCTCTCTCTCTCTCTCTTCCTCTCTCTCTCTCTCGATTGCTCCTCTCTCTCTCTCTCTCTCTCTGCTCCTCTCCATCCCTCCTCTCTCTCCGCTCCCTCCCCGTTCTCCCTTGTTGCCCCTCTTCCCCTCCCTTCCTCCCCCTCCTTCCCCCTCTCTCTCTCAGGCTACAGCCGAGCGGCCTTCACCGAACGCCCCCGCGTGCGCCCAGACGATGTGCCGTCATGTACACGGCGCCGCGGCGCCATCCCGCGCCGGGACGGCCCCGTCTGGGGCAGCGTTCATTCACCTGCCGACTCGACATGCTGCCTGAGATCAAACTGCTCGTCCGCGATGGGCATGTACCGGGTCAGAGGCCGCTGCTGCGGCTGAGGACACACCGGCCGGCGGGTCAGCAGGTCACACCAGCGGGTCGACACGTCACACTGGCCGGACGGTCAACAGGTCACACCGACAGGGCGGGTTAGCAGGTCACACCGTCACACCGGCAGGTCAGGTCACACCGGCCGGCGGGTCAGCAGCGGCCGGCGCGGCTGCTCCCCAGTCGGGGCTGGAGCGCAGGCACATGATGGACCGGCTACCACGGGACGCGACTTGAACAAATATATGCATCGCTCCAAGTCTTTTGATACATCCAGAATTGATCGCGGACAGCGGGATCCATCGCATGGATTGAAACGCCGCTCACAAACCTGTCCTCGATCAAACCCGGCCACGCTAAACAGCCAATATACATACCATACATCTCAATTAATTCCAGTTCTTGAGATAATCCAAAACGATTGTGCTTATATTAATGAGACCATTTTAGGGTCTTTGAAACGCAAAGAACTAGTAAACAAGTAAATGGCATGAGCATTGGACGAACTGATGCAACCTGTTCTCAGGTGCGTAACATGACCATGTCGAAGAACATGCAACGAACTGGCCGGATTCATCAATGACACTAGCAAACTTAAAACTTGAGGGATAAAAACACCCGCGAGTCAGGGAGTGCTACTCATCGCGCAAGTCGTGTGCAGTTATCAAATGGCGAGAGATGGCTCAAGTTGTGCCGCACGGGCGCACTGTCACATGTGCGAGTCCCCTGCAGTTTGAGAGCCACACGCGCCTGTGCCCCAGCTGGCGCATCACCGCTTCACACGCCCCTGGCCTGACGAGCCGCCGGCCCGACCCGAGCCCAGCGGCGTGCGCCTACCGAGAGCGGGAGCTTGCCGCGGCGCCGCACCGGCTCCTCGACGCCGTCGAACACGGACGAGGCGTCGGAGACGGGCCGCGGCCGCGGGTCGTCCGGCTCGCCGCTGACCGCCGGCGGCCGCTCGCCGCCCTCGTCCAGCGGCGCCGGCCGCTCGGGCGAGGGGCTGCGCGCCGGCGCCTCGGCCGTCCCGTGGCCGTTCGTCACGCTGTCGAGACGGCGCGCCGGGGTCACGGCAGGCCGAGGTGACGGCCGGCGACCTCGGGTCACGCCAGAATACTGAGTCTCCGGCTCCCACGTCGGACGGGATCTGAGATCTAAGCTAGCGTATCGGCGGGGGTCTGCGGGTGCAAATGGCGATGGCCGCCACAGCCAGCTACCAATTCAGTGGCACACGCACACATATATACCGAAAACACGACAAAACGAAACAAAATTGTTGGGGGTGTTCCACTTCGAAGTTCCAGGACAATGGTGGTTTATTACGCATTCATAGCCAGTTGCAGTACAATCATGTGATGTCCCATGTATAGAAGCGCGAACCATCCTATTTTCTTGCTTTGGTTGTGGAGTCCCACCCCCACTGAAATAAAGCCGTACATCATATAGTGAGCAGCCAACATAACCGTAGGACTAGTCAACGATCTGTTAAACAGCTAGTCAAACAGCTGACGTTTCGCTTTTCCACCCTCCCATACCGCCCGCGCTCCGCCACGCAGCTCCATGCGGACGATACACGCCACTCTCTCAGCTGGCCTGTCGACAACGGACGTCTTTGACCAGACGGATGTAGGCTGCTGGGGAGTCGACACTTCCTCGAGAGCCTGTCAGGACCTTCGAACTTGCCCCTCACCAGACAGGGAGATCACTGAACTAACCCAGATCAAAAGGACGGAGACCAGGGCAAAGTGATACAGCAATTTTCTAGATCACTTAGTCGTGGATGTTGGCGCATTTTGATCAACTTCCCGTGTGCGTTGTTATTACTGAAAGGCAAGCGTGGCTTTTAACTACATATCTCTTGCCTGTCTAAAATGAAGCATTGGTCACCGAAGACTGCGGCGGGGTCTCCGTCAGTCGCCACAGATTCATGGCTGGTGGCTAGTGCGGTGGGCAGATCGGGAACAGGCACCCACGGGTGAATCATGCCGAACCCAATGACCATGACTTGACCAATGACCATCAGTCGTACATCAAACTCACCATCTATCAGACGACCTCGACGCTGCTTTGTGCACTGCCCATGCAAGGCACGAAACAACTTTCCGAGGCTGCGGAGAGCCGGGACCTGATACCCAACACATGGTGGCAAAGACTGCCGGCACGCCTTTGCCCTCGGACTCTGTCCCGGTACCCCGCCGTGTGACGGGGTCTGCCGTCCGACTCTGTCCCGGTACCCCGCGTGTGACGGCGGGGTCTGCCGTCCCACTCTGTCCCGGTACCCCACCGTGTGCCGGGGTCGGGTCTAACGTCCCACTCTGTCCCGGTACCCACCGTGTGCCGGGGTCTGCCGTCCCACTCTGTCCCGGTACCCACCGTGTGCCGGGGTCTGCCGTCCCACTCTGTCCCGGTACCCGCCGTGTGCCGGGGTCTGGTCTAACGTCCCACTCTGTCCCGGTACCCACCGTGTGCCGGGGTCTGCCGTCCCACTCTGTCCCGGTACCCGCCGTGTGCCGGGGTCTGCCGTCCCACTCTGTCCCGGTAACCCCCGTGTGCCGGGGTCGTCGCCGTCCCACTCTGTCCCGGTAACCCCCGTGTGCCGGGGTCTGCCGTCCGACTCTGTCCCGGCACCCCACCGTGTGCCGGGGTCTGCCGTCCCCTGTCCCGGGTACCCACCGTGTGACGGCGGAGGCGATGTTGTCGCTGCTGCCGGCCGAGTCCGGCGACAGATCGCTGGCCGCCAGGCCGGCCGGGGCGGCCGGCAGCTGGCGGCGCCGGCTCTCCTCCCATTGGGCCCGTCACCTCGTCCTGCACGCGGGCGCTTCAACTCCTCCAGCCGCCGGACGCTCGTCCTCGATCACCTGAGTGCCTGCCGAGCCGACGAGACGACGTCACAGCACGGCTGCGGCGGCCCAGCACAGCAACAACCGGCCGGATTTGGGCCAGGCGTGAGCTGTGTTGTCTCCCACAGCGCCAGACTGCTCATTACAGAAGTATCCAATGCTGTCGGGTTCCTGTGATTGCGAATACTGCTGTGAAACGGGGACGGGGGCTGCAGCGTCATAAACGGGCTTGTATGCTGCGTACCGTCCACAACTGTACACGACAGCCCCCGCACACCTGCCCACTCACACGCAGTGTTCGTCTTTGGTGGCGCCGTGCATCCCAACCTCTCAACAGTGAAGAAAATAACTGTTCGGTCTGCCTTCCATATCATCACGTTTTACGCAATTTCCCGTCCCCTTTGTTGCTCGTTCGATTGTTTTATTTCCGCTGCTGTCGGCGGCCGGCGGAGTCCGGCGACAGGAGAGTCGGACAGCGACCACTCCCACCTCGTCAGCGGGCGGGAGCGAGCCAGAGGCGCCCGCGCCGCCGGCCAACGCCCATTAACGCGGCCGCATGCGTGCCGGGACGGCGCCAGCGCCACATCACCATTGTGCAACCGGCCCACTGCACTGAGAGCACGGGCCCCGGCCCCGGCGGCCGCCGCCCGCGGCAACAAAGCACAGCCTGTCGGCCGTCCACTCAGACAGGCCGGCAGCCTGATAAGCGGGGCAATGTGATCCCCGCTGCCGCCACTCGAGGGCCGTGAGCACTGACGGACTCGACAAACAGCCCTCCGGTGAGAAGTGAGAACACACGGGTCTCGGGCTGACCACCCCGCCCCCATGACAGGCGTCGCCCGCAGGACGCACGGCCTCGCCGTCGGATGGGCGGGGCGAGCGCCGGAGAGTGCAACCGGGGTGCCGGCCGGGCACGGCGCCCGCCGCTGCCACCTCAGACGCGCCTCGGCACACAGGGCGGTGGGCGCGGCCGCGATCAAACAAGGACCGGACGGCGGCCGTCACGGCTGCCGCCAGCGAACACGGCCGCCGCGGCCCGGCGCCGCCGCCGAGCCGGCCGGCCACTCAGGGCAGCACGGGCAGCTCAGGGCAGTCGGGGCAGCGGCACGTACTGACGGCCAGGACAGCCGGCGGAGGCACGTACCGCCGGTCAGCGCCGAGTCCACCGAACAGCGTGACGCGTCCGCAGCCGTCTGTCAGCACCGCCGGCAACTGACGGCGCGGCATGGGGTCTGTGCTGAGCGGGGCCAATGTTGACTGTTGAAGACGATCGATGCGTCGATCGGTGCAATTGGCCAATTTGCCGACTTCTTCTGGTGAACGGAGCGGCCCGAAAGTATCAAGATAAGTACCACCGGCCGTTTCAAAGAAGACGCGAGCCCACCGCTGCTCAGGACGCAGAACGACGCCGAGCACCATACCATGACGCAACGGTCGGACAGTTCGGCAGAGCCCCGAGCACATCGACTAGGTGCCTCCGAACACTACCACACACCGTCCAGGGCGGCCACCATTAACCTCTCGCGGACAATGGCCCACGGGTGGACAGCCCAGCACGGAACGGCGAACAGTACGCAGCGGTATGTAGCGCCGGGCCGGCGCCGATTGAGAGCCGGCCTGAGCAGAGTTCAGTGAAGGCCCGTCCACCCGATATGGCCGGCTCCCATGGCCGGTGAACGGCTCCAGCGTCACCGGCCCGGCAGGCGGCGGCCGGGGCGCACCTGAGCCCCAGAGGGACCCACACAGGTCACCCCGCCCAACAGCGGCTCGATGCGCCTCCGACACCGTGGCTGTTGCAGCACCGCTCTAACCCCGGCCTCCGGCACGGCACGGGCGGCCATCGGGCTCTATGCGGCACATGAGTTGGTTCGGCGACGGTAGGTACCGGAACCCAGTTCAGTTCAGTTCAGGTCAGGTCAGGTCGCAAACAGGGAGCTCTGAGCACAGCCATGCCAGGTGCGAGAAGAACCTTGGCACGAACAGGGATCAAACGAGAGGTAGACCAGCTCCCCAACACTAGGCGAGGCCAGGTCAGGTCAGAGGAGTCAACCTGACCCCACGCCAGGTCCCACTCACTTGGCCCAGCTTGGGGCAGCCGCTCCGGCGCCGGCCTGGTGGTGACCCGGTACGTGTTGAGGCCGGGCCGGCGGCGGCTGCGGCTCCAGCAGCCGCCGCTCCAGCAGGTGGCCATCGGAGCGGCGTCCGAGCTCCACCGCGCGCGCCGGCCGACACAGCGACCGCTCCCCGGGAGAGCGCGCGCGCGCGCACGCCTCCGCCCACCGCGGCCCGTCTCATAACGCCACCCGGGCGCCGCTCGGTACGGCCGGCCGCGCTGCGCGCCGTCGCCAGGCGAGAGCCGACATGAAATCCTGCCGCGGCGGCGTCGCGGGCCACCGCGCTCGCCACGTTTGGTCTGCGCGAGACGACCGCCAGGTGACGTGGAAGCAATGCAAGGCGGCGAAGGTGCGGCCGCGGCGCGATACTCTCATAGCAGGCGCTGTTTATTTTTAGTGAGAAACGGCCCAACGAGCCAAGAGGCCGACCCCCGTCGGCCCCGATTAGCGCCCGCGGCAACAGGGCTGAGCCCGATCGTCGTGCGGTCACCGCCACAGTCTGCCTTTCCGCTCAAAGCGATGGAGGCTGCCATTCCGCCGGGCTTAACGACTTCAAGTGCAGCCATCAACGGAGGCAGTTGAGGCTGGGCTTGCAAGCAGGGGTGCAGCAGTCACCTCCCACAATGTCCCGCTGTGGGAGACGGCGTCACCAGCGAGCCAGGGGCCGGACAGTGGCCCACTGTCCGGCCGAGCGGGACAGCGCGCATCGCTGCCCGGCCCATCGCGTCAGCGTCATGGCCGACAGCCCAGTGGGACAGACTGCCACGCAGCCGGCCGACGAGGCCTCCCTGTAACCGCAGCGCGGTGTCTCGCTGTGCCGCTGAGCCGGACATCGCACCACTGTCACGCCGGCGGCGGCGGCGGCCCGACCGAGTCCGACAGCACCCCGCTGGCCGGCGCGGAGCCGCGGGCGCCGCCCACCTGACCGAGGCCGACAGCGCCCCGCTGGCCGGCGCGGAGCCGCGGCGCCGCCCACCTGACCGAGGCCGACAGCGCCCCGCTGGCCGGCGCGGAGCCGCGGCGCCGCCCACCTAACCGAGGCCGACAGCGCCCCGCTGGCCGGCGCGGAGCCGCGGAGCCGCGGCGCCGCCAACCTGACCGAGGCCGACAGCGCCCCGCTGGCCGGCTCGGAGCCGCAGCGCCGCTCACCTGACCGAGGCCGACGCCGAGCCCCGTCCCGCCGGGAGAGGGCCAGAGTGCCGTCACCACGTCCCACCAGACGGGCACCGCGCCAGTACGGCGGCTCGGACAATCCGTCCTCACACGTCGCCGAGCGGCGGCGCCGGCCGTGACTTCGCCCACGTGCCGGCGCCGCCGCGGGGGGCCGCCGCCGACAGGTGCGCGGCACGCCCGGCCGCCGACAGGGCCGGGCCGGCCGTGAAGCCCGGCCGCTGGCGCGCCGGGCCCGGCGCCGCCCGGCTCAGCCGCCGGCCGCCGCCCAGCCGGCTCGGCCCGTCGTCACAAGCAGCGGCGGGCAGGCCTCTGAGGCACCGGCACGCCACAAAAGCCCCGTGGCCGGCTCACTATCGGCAGATCAAAGCCCCCGGATAGAGTCAAAAGACATACAACGAACGACCCAAGGGAGACAAACGTACGAATGGCGACCAGACAACAGTCAGTTTTGGACAAGTGTACATAATGGATGTCTTCAACCACCGCGTGTTTTTTTTCTTTACTCGTGTAATCACACTGTGACTGGAATAAAAAGCCAACACCCCGCTTAGAACGCCGGCCAACTGCAAGCCACTTTCACAATTTTAACTTGGTTCGCACCTTTCATTCACTTCATGTCTAACGGTTGTAGTGCAACATGTCATGACGCAATTACACGCTGCACAAGCGATTTATCCGGAAAATTTGTCATGGATCCACGACCAGATACCAATTGAACCAGCCAGGCCCGACGGTTTCGTTGTCTTCGACGGTCAGGGAGTCCGTGCGATCCCTCTGCGCCCTTCCTTGCCTGGTATGCTGAATCAGCAATGAAATGCGGCCGTCCGTGATGTTAAGCTCTGACCAGGGTCATGCCAGGGTATCACTTCTCGTTCATCTATCAATCGCTCGCCTATCAATTTCACCAAGCGAGTCAATGTCTTGCAGTCTCCTCTATGTGTAGCCTGCAATACGCGTACAGAAAACAGGTCGCTCATAATGCAAGCATGCCACCATATATTTTCAAGGTGCAATGAGAAGCTGTCTGGGGTCGTTCCATGGTCGCCTATGACACTGAACGTGGATAACCTCACCATACTCTCTATTTAACACGATAATGCTCATAGTGGCAGTATCGGAAAATCTTATCAGTGATCCGTCCGTATTAAAGCCCAAACTTCACACAGCCCAACGTTTTTTTGTTTGTTTGTTTCGTTTTGTTAACTTCTTTAGGACTACGACCAATCTTAACATCTCAACCAATGTCCATTACCTAACCTGTTAATACACTCCGCTTCATTCATTCGTCGTGATTGGTGCAGGAGCATGCGAGTATTTGTGGAAGCACCAACAAATGAAAATATCCCAACTTTACTAACAAAACGTGTGCCGTCAGCAACGCGGAGCCAGCCAGGCTTAGTCTTTCATTCAGTAGCCGCGACGACAACGCTAAACGCCGAGGGGGCGGGGCGGGGCGGAGAGTGGCCGGTGGCGCGGAGGGTGGTCGGTGGCGAGGAGGATGGCCGGGGGGAGAGCAGGGGTTGGCCGACGGGGCGGGTTGGGGATGAGGGTGGCCACGGAAGGTGGCTGGCAGGGCGGAGGATGGCCGGCTGGGCGGATGGCCCGCGGCGCGGCGCGGGGGGTGAACGGCGGGGCGGGGCGAAAGGTGGCCGGCAGGGCGGAGGATGGCCGGCAGGGCGGAGGGTGGCCGGCGGGGCGGGCGAAGGGTGACCGGCGAGACGTCACGTATGTGCAGAGAGGGGTGGGGGGGGGGGGGGGGAGAGCGGAGGCGCGCCGAGAGTCCGAGCCGCCGTGCCCACTCAGCATGTCCGACCGATGACGTCGGCCAGTTCGGGTGCACACTGGTGCGGCGGCCCCGGCGCCTGACTCAAGTCCCGGTCTCTCCACGGCCCCAGCGCCTGACTCAAGTCCCGGTCTCTCCACGGCCCCGGCGCCTGACTCAAGTCCCAGTCTCTCCGCGGCCCCGGCGCCTGACTCAAGTCCCGGTCTCTCCACGGCCCGTCACCGGCCGATCTGCCACGTCCAACCGTCACCTGACGACAGCCCTAAACGAGACCAGAGTCCAGCGTGCACGCAAGGCACCACCGACCGGCCGAAGCGCGCGCTCCGACGCCCACAGGCCCGCCGCGTCACGCCGGCACAGCGCGGACAGCGGGAAATCAGGACGCTTTTCTGCCGGTTGGCGACAACATGCTATAGTAATCCATTGCAGGCGAACTACTGTATCCCTGTGTGACCCTCCTGTGTTACTCACAACACAACACCAGCATTACTGCAGTGTCGACCTGCCCCCACTCGACACGCTTCCGGCGCAGTCCGTGGCGCGGTGCTCGGTCCTAAGCGACACCCCACTCCGGGGCGTGTCGACCCCCCGGCGGCCCAAGGTCGCGCCGCCGCGTCCCGTTCGGGCGAGCGCCGGCCATCGCCACGCCCATGCAGCCGAGTGGGCGGCGGCGGCGGTGCAGACCGAGTTAAGGCCGCACACTCCCGAGCGGCGGCAGGGCAGTCGGCTCAACCGGCGAGGCAGTCGGGCGCCACGTTTGTCATAATCATCGGCCGGCCGCCAGGCTGGAGCGGCGCTGACAGCTCCAGATAGAGCAACAAGGCAGAGGAAGGGCCAGCGACACAGACGAAGCATGGTACGAAAAAGATGAGGCGGTGGACAGAGCGGTAGAAGGGGAATGGGGAGAGAGGAATGACACGTCTTTAACGAGTCCCCTGATACATTAAGCTGCAGGTCACTGAACTCTGGTCAGCCCTGAAGCACTTCAGCCGACTAAGCAATGAGTCCACCCTGAGAACAAGCGCCACAACTGCACAAGGCATTTCATATGTTCTAAATCCGTTTCGCGTCATATTGTAGAACGCTCCGACGGTGATGTCAGATGAAAGAAATCCGCGCTACCAGTAGAGCACCAGAGGCACAACAGGCGATGACATGCCCACAAATCACCCCCCCCCCCCCCAAACAAAAAATCAAGGTGTATCTTGCAAAGCAACTGCAACAATGCCACCGTGGAGTGGAGGGATGAAAACGTCAATGTATTATCATTCAGGACCAACTCAGCGCGATGCGCTCGCAACAAGCAGGGTGAACCAGGGCGTGACGCCAGATATCCACCACGTCACTCAGCTTTGAGTTAATAATAGCCGGCATTCTGATTAATGGCATGTTTCTTCAGCGATTTTGGGCTTCACAAGCACGGTGAAGTCGAGGCCTGGACACCGGATCTTTTGAAGTCTTCCCTTCACTACTGATAGCTTCTGAGACACATAGGCGGGTGGCTAGAGGGCAACTGCCACTTTGGGAGACTTCGTCACGCACCAGCACGAGGCGAGCTGTTCGCTGGCACCACGAGTGGCATATCACGCTACTTAAATCTACAATGGAGTCTTCCACGTAAAGCATTCTCGGCCACGCGGTTTATTTTTCCTGGTTCACTGTGAGCAAGATCTGCGTCGTTCATCACTGCTTTTCTTCCTACACAGGGACCTCAAAGCAGCGTCACGCCACCCCCTCCCCCCCGCGCCAGATCGACCTCTTTGGCTAGCTGCCAGGTGACCTCTTCATCCGGGTGGTGCTCAACAATGCGCACGTTTCTGAGAAGTTTGGATCTGGCGAAACTGCGGCCCACCAGGCCGCCGCCAATAAAGGCCAGTCATCCGACTTATTGGAACGCTGACTGGTCGGCACATTTCGTACATAATTCACATTCACATACATGGAAGCTGAATTTAACTGCAACAGTCTGTTCCACCCCGATTCCATTTGTTCCGTGTCCGTCCCAATGGCTCAGGTCCGGCCCGATCGCTCAGCTGTTAGAGCGTCTGCCTTCCGATACATCCACCCGTGGAGGGGTGGGTTCGAGTCGCTCTAGGCATTCGTTATCAACCCTGGACAGGTATGGCTTGCCGCCAGTGGCAGCGGCCGTGCTGAAGGTCAGCAGATGCCAGAGTACAGAGCGGACCAGGCTAAGCATCGCGGCACGTTAGATATTCACCACCAAATCTGTCGCTGACCTGGAATTACGCAACCGGATGGAGGGGGTCAGGGCTCACAAAACAAGCACTACTTAGAGTGAGGCATGGTCCCAGAAATCCATCCATTCAAAAGGTTTGCATTAAATCTTTGCAAACATCGGTATGTATTCAATGGGAAATGTTTCTCGTAAAACTAACAAGCTAATGGTGCGCGACAAAGTACTAGTACTAAACTTCAGCCAGCAGCGAAGCGTTACATTCTGGAATCTATAAAAAAAGAGAGGGTTAAAGACTCACTAATATATTCAGAAGGCGTATTGCGCGTGTCGGGGAGCGATTTAGAACAAAACAAGCGTTGGACATTGAAACCGGCTGATTCTGATCAGTAGTCACACGCGCACAGTCAGCCCATCACTGCAGCCGGAGACTCCGCTTAAGCCGGTTTAAACGGACAAGACACAGACCGCCGCGCTGGTGCGGATCACAGGCCCGCGGGGAGACAACGGACCATCCCTCGCCCGCGGAAGCGCCACGGAGGCCCGCTCTCTGGACTCACCTTGCTTTGCCAGCAGCACGTGCCGATTCCGCTCGATCTCGCGTAGAGTGCTTGACGAACGGTTATCCACCTGGCGAGCAGGTGGCAAGCTATCACTTCGGGACAAAAACCGCCGAGCGTGTGTGGAAATCCCAGCTGCGGTGCCAATGGACACTGCAGGAAATCAGTACCAGCTAGCTGAACTGTTCAGCTCAGGATTACGATGCCGACTAAGCATTACAGCCCCTTTCCCGTTCTGATTCCCCGGTGTACTCCAGCAAGTACGCCAGCAAAAACTAACTATACATCCACACACAACTGCCCAAACGTGTGCAGCATGCCAGCCTGGGGAACGAGCGGAGCACGGCCGGCCCGCACGGTGCGCCGCCGCTCCGGTGGCGCCCCCTCTCACCTGCGTGCCCGCCCGCGGAGCGAGCGGAGGACGGCCGGCCTGTGCGGCGCGCCCCCGCTCCGGTGGCGCCCACCTCTCACCTGCGTGCCGGCCCGCGGAGCGAGCGGAGCACGGCCGGCCCGCACGGTGCGCCGCCGCTCCGGTGGCGCCCCCTCTCACCTGCGTGCCCGCCCGCGGAGCGAGCGGAGGACGGCCGGCCTGTGCGGCGCGCCCCGCTCTGGTGGCGCCCCTCTCAACTGCGTGCCGGCCCGCGGAGCGAGCGGAGGACGGCCGGCCCGCACGATGCGCCGCCGCTCCGGTGGCGCCCCCTCTCACCTGCATGGGCGCGCTGGCGGTGACGTTGTGGATGCGCTGCAGGTCGTCCGCGACTTGCCCAGCATGTGCAGCTGCGCCAGCCGCGACTCGATGTACTCGTTACTCGAAAACTGGGCAGCGAGAGGTCAGGCGGGCGGGTCACGTTCGGGAACGCAAGCGGTGGACACACACACACACACACACACACACACACACACACACACACACACACACACACACACACACACACACACACACACACACACACACACCACGCACGCACGCACGCACGCACGCACGCACGCACGCACGCACGCACACACACACACACACACACACACACGCACGCACGCACGCACGCACGCACGCACGCCCGCACGCCCGCACGCCCGCCCGCACGCACGCCCGCACGCCCGCACACGCGCGCGCGCGCACACGACACACGCGCACGCACGCACGCGCATGCGCACGCGCACACACGCACCATAGACCAGAACATACTGCGGACAGGACCCTGTCTTTGGCGTATATCCAAAAGCACATTCCACTGGCACGTTTTTTTCCAATCATGTCAATGCATACAATTTGGAGTTTATTCCTTTCAAGCACACTTCAGGTACGCTGAATGCGCTTCTAAATCATATTTGCGGGGGCGCTGAAACTTCAGACCAGCTATTTGGTCAAATGACAGGCTTGCCGCCTGGCCGCCGCCTAACGGCAAAGTTGAGGCCGTCCGCCTGATTGGCGGCCACCCTATTAGAACTAAGCTCCCATAGCTCCCTACCCAACGGCGCGCCAACGCTTGCTACAACTCCGACGCGTCATCACGTGACGCCCCGGAGCAGCACAGCGCGCATGCGCACCGAAGCCGTGCGCCCGGCCATGCACCGCCGGAGCGGGACGCGCCGACTAACCTCCTCCGGGTCGGAGGAGACCTCGGGCTCCTCCAGGCCGGGGTCGTCGGCCGCCTCGTCCATGCCCGACTGCGAGAGGCTGCTCAGCCGGCGCTGGGTCTTGCGGAGACGGTCCCGCTCCTGGCGGCCGGACCGGCAACGGCGGACGGTAATGCGGCGCACCACTCACACACGGCCGACCGCCGCAGCCACCACACGGCACTGGAGACACTCCGATACACACCGACCGACCGCAGTCTGAAGCCCGACAGCAATCAGGGCACCTCCGATACACACCAACCAACCGCAGTCTGAAACCCGACAGCAATCAGGGCACCTCCGATACACACCGACCGACCGCGGTCTAAAGCCCGACAGCAATCAGGGAACCTCCGATGCACACCGACCGACCGCAGTCTGAAGCCCGACAGCAATCACGGCACCCCCCGATACACACCTACCGACCGCAGCCTAAATCCCGACAGCAATCAGGGCACAAGCGCCACATGCGCCACTGCATTGCAGAGAACTGAACGGAGGGAGAACCCAGCAGACGGCGGACTGCCCGGCGATACAGCAGTGGCCGTGAGTGTCGTCCTGCAGCCGTGAGCCCGGCGGCCTGTTCTCCGTGACTGTCCGCACGAGCCTGGCCGGAGGTGACTGAGCACTCCTGAGGCGGCCGTCGTCCTGCAGCCGTGAGCCCGGCGGTCTGTTCTCCGCGACTGTCCGCACGAGCCTGGCCGGAGGTGACTGAGCACTCCTGAGGCGGCCGTCGTCCTGCAGCCGTGAGCCCGGCGGCCTGTTCTCCGCGACTGTCCGCACGAGCCTGGCCGGAGGTGACTGAGCACTCCTGAGGCGACCGTCGGCCGGTCGCCGGCACCGGTGCCGTGGCCGCCGCGCCCGTCCGCTCACCTGGCACATCTGTTTGACGATGTCGCGCCGCTGCTGCTCCATGGCCTCGGTGTCACGCCGGATGGACTCGATCAGCGCCTGCTGCTGGTCCCGCACCGACTCCATCTCCGACCTGGCGGCCAGCCGGCGGCCGTCAGGCAGGGCACCAGACACGAGCCGGCGCCAGCGCAGCTGACCCGCAGCGGCCGCGGGCAACGCGTGCGCTTCATAACATCATGACACGCCCCAGCTGACAGCACCGCAGTAATGAAATCACGAGCAGTACCCGTGTTTAGTCTTAAGATAATTGCTTCCATACTCACAAACCGGGTTATTCCTAGAACAAAGCCCAACGGTTTAAATAGCGGCCATCATGATATCCATACGACGAACCAAAGCGCACCAAAGAGCACCCGAGTCCCCGCCCACAGTGCGGCACTGGCCCGCTTTTGACACGTGACCGTCTCTGTGACGTCAGACCCGCCGTGGGCAGCGACGACCAGCCGCCCAAAGACGGCGACGCAATGCGGCGCCGGGCCCCACCGGGTGCTGGCGATGCGGGTCTCCAGCTGGCTGATGAGCCGCAGCGACTCCTCCTTCTCGGCCTCCCAGCCCACCTGCTCCTCCATGTGGTGGAACTCCTGATCCTCGTGCGCCTGCGGCACACGGCGCCGCCTCAGAGACGCGGCCACAGTCAACCCCTGCAGGCCACGCTACACAACAGCTGCCGCCGGCGTGGTTTACACCCCGCTGATGAACGACACATTCTCGTTAGCAACACGGCTCGGGTCGGCGGCACCAGTGCACACACACGCACGCACGCACGCACGCACGCACGCACGCACGCACGCACGCACGCACGCACGCACACACACACACACACACACACACACACACACACACACACACACACACACACACACACACACACACACACACACACACACACACACACACACACACACGGCTGATGACTGCGCTGATGAGCAGAGGGGGTCCGAGGGGAGAGGGGCCTGGCGTGCAGCATCGCTGCAACCCGCCGCCCCCGCTGCGCAGCGGCCCGCGCGCCGAGCTGGCTGCGCTGCCCCGGCCGGGCCCCGCGATGGCTGCAGCAGGCCGGTGACCGGCGCGGCGCTGGCGCACGGGCCGCCAACAGCCACACAGAGGGCTGGGTACCGCTGCCGACCCCGGCCGGCAGAGCCGGGGCGCTGCTGCTGGCGCACGGGCCGCCGACAGCCACACAGCGGGCTCGGTACCGCTGCCCGCTGCCGACCCCGGCCGGGCGGGCCGGGGCGCTGCCGCTGGCGCACGGGCCGCCGACAGCCACACAGCGGGCTCGGTACCGCTGCCGACCCCGGCCGGGCGGGCCAGGGCGCCGCCGCTGGCGCACCAGCCACACAGCGGGCTCGGTACCGCTGTCGACCCCGGCCTGGCGGGCCGGGGCACTGCCGCTGGCGCGTCGCAGAGCGGCACTGCTACGCCCGTGAGGCGGGCCCGCGCCGCCGTCGCCGCGCACCGCCCACCTTGCGCTCCTGCTCCACCAGCTCGTGCTGGTACTTGAGCTTCTCCAGCAGCCGGGTCTCCTCGTCGGTGGAGCCGCGGAACTGTTCGCTGAGCTGCTCCAGCCGCTCCAGCTCCGCCTCGGCCGCCATGATCCGGGCCGCCAGCTGACGAGACACGGCCCAGGTCAGGTCAGGTCACACGCCGACAGGTTGAATCGCGACACGGCTCAGGTCAGGTCAGCACACGTGCGGTGACAAGCGGGAGGTTGGCTGACGTCAAGAGTCAGGTCAAACACGACCCAACCATTGTCCAGAGGTGTTCCACTACCCACACGGCAGCTGGCACAGTTTAGTTCAAGTCAACCACATGGTGTAGTCAGCTAAGCTCGAAAATACTGGCAATGTCACTTCAATACTCTTTTAACTTAACTCTCATTTAATTCCCTTACTACTTGATTCCTCTAATTACTCCAACTCTCTATCTGCAGGCAAGCTGAACAGCCGCGATGATACTTCCAAGCCAGGCAGCTCACACCAGAAAGCCCGACTGCACAGGCTAGTTCTCACGATCCCCCGCCGACGCGTGCCGGCAAACACTGCCGGCTGTGCACAGCGCTCAGTATCAGTCAGTCAGCTGACGACGAGACGGTAACACTGTCGGACACCATCCCAGCAGCCTTCACACGCTGTGAACCCAAGCAGGCCTTAGCTTTACGGGACGACTTCACGTTAATGGCAGACGGGGCGGCGCGCCAAAAGGCGTCCCAGCCTGGCGCGCGTCCAAAGCTTTCAGGACCCGACATCTGGAGTAAGCCAATGACCAGAGGTGTTTCGCCACCCGGTCCACCGCTGACAGCTCAGGGACAAACCAACTGCACGTCATAGCAAGCCTTACTGTGGACAGCGCCCGGAGCAGCAATTCTGGGATGTTTTATGGGTACTGCTGCAAGTCATGAATCTCCAACCCGCTCATTTTCATCCTCCATGCCATAAAAATGAGTCTGCCGGCAGTGCCGGACATGACACCAGGCCGTGGCACGCCTCCGGTGCAGGACACGCCGCCGCTCCGCTCCATGACGCCGCGCGGGACGTGACGCCGCACCGTGACGCGGCTGCAGGGCGGGCGGTGACGCCGCTCGGCCGTGCCCGGGCGCGGGCGGGCCGGCGGTCAGCAGGCCGGCTGGCGCCGCTCCCAGCGCCGGTCCACTGCCCACTGCGTGTCCGAGAGGTCGGACACCGTGCCGCCCCAGGTCACTTGGCAGGCGGCGGCGCGCTGGCCAGCCGGACGCCGCCGCCTGCCCGGACACGATTGGCCCGGCCTTGATCAGAGGTCCACCGCGGCGGCAACCGCCAAGGACGTGTCAGCCATGACAGCGGCCGACTGCTCACATCTGGCCAGTTAAAATAGTCTCAAATGTGACTCAGGGTAGCCTTGGAGCAGGCCTGCTTAATTTGATGACATGAGCATGATCAATGTGCTTTCGCCTCGGCGTGATACTGTTGAAAAAACGCGTGCAAAGCTAGCAGTGCACCTTTACAGCAGGTTTGTTTTGGTTACAAAAACAATAAACAATTGTACGTTTCACTTTGCTTCATTTCGTTTCTAAATCTGATCACGGGCATTGCGATGGCGGCGGGGACCAACTACCCATGGCTTGCACGGAACGACCGCTGTAAGGGCTCATCACATCGGCCGCGACCTGCCTATGCTGCGCCCGCATCTGACGTCCAGAGTGAGCCCCACCCTCCTCCGTCCCCTCCCTCCCCTCCCGCATGCCGCGATCAGGTCGGCCATGACGGCCCATTTCGGCTGACTCGGCAGCTGATCACAGCAGCCCCCCCCCTCCCTCTCCCCATCACGCACACATCTGGGGGGGGGGGGGCGCCCTACCGACAACTACATCTACTTGTTCACGACTTCATGCATGGCCGGCGCCTTTCGAGTACATCAGAATGCAGGGGAACGGATTTCAGACGCTCCTAAAGGCGGATGTCACACGAGCCACTGACAGGCAACAGCTCAAACGAACAGCGGCGCCGCTCCCACACCCTTGGCGGCCCCCAGTGGCGGGCAGCGCCGCCGGCAACAACTGCGCATGACCCGCCAGAGGGCGCGCTGACCCCGAGCCGCGCCGCCGCAGCCGACGGCACCCCACGCCGCGCGCCGATGGCCAATACCTGCTGGACGCGGTGATTGAGCGACGCCTGCATGACGGACGGCGTTCGGTGCTGAGCCCCCGGCTGAGCTGCACTGAGCTACACTGGGCTACTCTGGGCTGAGCCGAGCTGAGCCGGGCTCGGTGTGCACGCGTGACCGGCCGGCCGAGTGCCGCGGGGCGCCACTCAAGGACGACCGACGCCGGGCCGGGCCGAGCCGGCGGCGGCGCGGGGCGGGGCGGGGCCGATCGATCCGCCCGGCGGCGGCGGCGGCGGCGCCCGCCCCCACCGGCACATCACTCCCAGGCGCGGTGCGCCGCAGCCAGACCGCCGCCCGCTGACAGTGCTCACCAGCGGGGCATCGGTCCCACTGGCGACAACCAGGCAATGCCGCTGACAATTCATCGCAGGGAACTAAGTCCCTTACGGCGACAGAGAACACCGGTGGGAAACTTCTTCTAATGACAGAGTCACCGAAGTGAGGCCTCTCCTGCAGACGAGGCTCACCAGAGGGAGGTCCTTCCCGCTGGCACGGATCCTGAGAGCGAGACCGCGCAAAACCTCAAGAGGTCTCCCCTCATCCCCTTCTTGGTCAGGATGCCACCAAGAAAGGCATTAGTTGTGGTACTAGCCCACTAGCCCATGTAACTAGCAGTCACCAGTTCATACGTCCTGGCGGTTTCGCGGAGGGCGAGCGACTTCGGAACTCAAGTCCACGGGCGAGCTGCCCCCTCTGTCCCCGCCGCGATCTCACATCGCGAAGGGCCGGGTCGGTTCAGTCGCAACTCACAACTCAAACTCATTTGCCAATGATCTCAATGAAGGCATGTGCCTTACATCCAAAGCATCTTCAAGCTGACAAACAGACCTTACAACACAGCACGGGACGCCTACTCGCTGCTAGTCATTAAAATGCCTTACGGAGCAAGTTTTTAGCCCGTTTTGCTGCAACAATTACTCAGTTCACAATGCCGAACAACTAGGATTTTGCAGCACTCTGCGGTTTTCTATTTTACCCTAACGGCACGGCTGAAGCACGGCCATAATAACCACTACCGAGTAGGATGACCCATACGGACCATGCAACGCAAGATTTCGCAAAACCAATGCGTCGCAAATAGAAGATCCCGACAAAAAGATGCCAACTTAGTCCTGATTAGTTCGTTTAGTTCATTCTTATGACGTTTAGTTCCGTTTAGGATGGTCAAAATAATAATTTTGGCGTCTTTTGCCGTGCGTTGACATAACTTGCCCCGAAACAGTAGATAACTGCAAATTTTCTGACCCATCGATTGATGCTGCCACGCCAGGCGAGACGAGGCACGGTCAGGGAAGCTGACATCAAACACAACGGAAAGGAGCAAAATGTTAAAAACTCCTCCATGAAGGCCAGTCATCAACAACACCAGGGGAGTGCATACGACTATTTGTGTCGAAGCCTGACAGAATCATGGGGCTTGCAATACAACGCAACATTCCCAGGAATATTATTTTATATACTCCCGAGGGAGGCGGCCAACCCCCGCGATTTTGACTTGAGCCTTCCCCAATGCTCTCCTGATGCGTATGAGCAAGGAGGAAACACCTAGCCAAACGAATACAGAACAATCATCTTAACTATTGACACTTTGGTTGGCAAGTACCTAAAAACATCACAAAGCAACACAGTTTTCAAATGATCACGCCTGGATTGGGATACAGAACAAGTCATTGCGATATATAGTTGCTTAAAAGGAACAAGGTGGCTCAGACAAAAGTTAACACATGACGTCCCCGCGAGTGACTAGTGTATTTGTCGTACAATCGTTGCTGCGGTGGTTATACAACACAATCAGCAACAGCAGAACTCATCAGTGATCCCTCACTAAGATCTATTTAAATGTTGTACGTAAATCACATCACATTCTAAGCTTTTCACAAAACGTAGCACACACCAGCTTAAGATGAGAAGTCATCCCTCCAGGGGAAAGCAACCTGGAATCTACAGAATATTGTAGCTTTTCGACTTTGACATCCAAGTATGCGAATGCAAGTGGACGAAATCCGGAAGGAAATCAGGTTTGGGGGGGGGGGGGTAGATAAACCTTTTCGGCTGAGCCCCCCCCCCCACAACCGATTTTGGTACGCGACACCCCCTACGAATTACACTATCATGACAGCTCATAACCTCACATTAGTTGTACAACTCTTCTGCCTAAAATATATATATATATATATATATATATATACCAATAGATAACAGTGACAAATAAACCAACAGATAACAGTGACAAACACAAGAATCGTCTGCCACTGGGATACACACTAACATACCAAAGTGATACCATGGTGTCTTTACTTCGGTCGCTGACGAAGTTTCGGGTGAAACATACAATGAATGCAATTGTAGCTGCAACAAATTGTATGCCTGGTATGGGTTCATCATTACCTAGTTTACACTGCTTTCTTATAACAATAAACCTCAGCCGATCACAAACATAAGCTTGGTAGGTGCTCTTTCACCGCGGAAATATCCAAAAACCTCCCACACTACACAAAATAGTTCAAACCAGCCCGGACGCTCTGCGCTGTACTGATGGCCTCATGGCCACAAGATACTCAAGCCAGTCCGCTTGCCCGATTTTATACCAGGAAATTTGTGCGCAGACGCCAAACATCATCGCACCCGCGTCTGATACTCGAGAGAGAACATTCCGATACATTAAGTCCATCCGCGTGGGGTCGTAACGACGACGCGCTTTATTCGCTCACGCCTGGACACCACCCCCGTGGTGATAACACCACGTCTGTTATCACCGACCCTCCCCGCTTCGTATGCGTCAGAAGCCAGGCGGCGCCAACTTCGGCCAATAGCATTCACTTCTACCTATTTTTACAACAAATCAACGTCAGCATGATTGGCTTGATTTCTGGAGACGTTCATCGGGGGCCCCCGCGGTCGCCAGAGCCGGCGTCCCCACGGTCGCCGGAGCCGGCGTCCCCGCGGTCGCCGGAGCCGGCGTCCCCACGGTCGCCGGAGCCGGCGTCCCCACGGTCGCCAGAGCCGGCGTCCCCACGGTCGCCAGAGCCGGCGTCTCCACGGCCGCCCGAGCCGGCGTCCGGCGTTCGGCGTTCGGCGTTCGGCGCTGACAGGAGGGTCCACCTTCGATCCGTGTGTGGCAGCGCGTGACGCCCAGGGATCTCCTCTGGGACGGCGCTGATTACGACTAAGCTGCCCCCGGCCGGCTCATCCGCGCTGTCGGACGCGATATCGGATCGCAGACCGCACGACAAACACGGACAATCACGCCACGGTCGCCGGCCCGCCGCCGGCAGCTCTGCTGCACGGCCATATCGGGGACGTGCCCGCGGCGGCAGCTTCCAGCTGACGTGGCTGTCACTGGCCGCCTGTCTGAATGTGGGGCAAACCAAACCACTCGGGACAATGGGATTTCTAGGGAGACGTCGCATGGCGGCGGCTCAGCGCATCACCGCAACTGGACGCGAGCGGACCCCGGACTGGGCATGGCGGGCGGCTCAGCGCATCACCGCAACTGGACGCGAGCGGACCCTGGGCCGGGCATGGCGGGCGGCTCAGCGCATCAAACGCAACTGGACGCGAGCGGACCCTGGCCGGGCATGGCGGGCGGCTCAGCGCATCACCGCAACTGGACGCGAGCGGACCCTGGGCCGGGCATGGCGGGCGGCTCAGCGCATCACCGCAACTGGACGCGAGCGGACCCTGGGCCGGGCATGGCGGGCGGCTCAGCGCATCACCGCAACTGGACGCGAGCGGACCCTGGGCCGGGCATGGCGGGCGGCTCAGCGCATCACCGCAACTGGACGCGAGCGGACCCTGGGCCGGGCATGGCGGGCGGCTCAGCGCATCACCGCAACTGGACGCGAGCGGACCCCGGACTGGGCATGGCGGGCGGCTCAGCGCATCACCGCAATTGGACGCGAGCGGACCCTGGGCCGGGCATGGCGGGCGGCTCAGCGCATCACCGCAACTGGACGCGAGCGGACCCTGGGCGGCGATTACCGGCTGGTGCTTACGTGAGCTGGAGCCGCCCATGACATCCGTGGGTGGTTTGATTCTCTGACGCTCTTATATCAACGGCTAAGTTCGTTATTTACATTCAAAGAGCGTCGTCCACATACAAACATCCTCTGATGATGAACGACGCTGACTCAAGCGTACGGTTGCGACGCCGCCAGCGGCCAGTCTTCCCCGGCCTGCCGGACTTGTGCTCGAGGACGGTACGCCCGTCGCAGCCGGCAGGTGGCGGGCCCGGTACCTGGGCCGGGAGCCGGGAGCCAGGAGCCGCGGCCGGCCGGCCGGCCGTCTCACCTCTTCAGCTTCCTGCAGGCGGCTGCGGCGCGTTCGCTCCCAGAGCTCGGTGCGGCCGGCCAGCGCCTCGCGCTCGGCCGTCACCTCGGCCTCCAGCACCTGCAGCCGCTCCAGGTGTGTCTCCACCTCACCCTCCAGCAGCGCGTGCTCCATCTCCAGCTGTCGAGACAGCAGATCAGCGGTCACGGCCGGGTCACCGAGCAGGGCGGAGGGGGGGGGGAGGGGGGGGGGGGGGAGCTCACGGGCGGGGCGGACGAGCTTCGGGAGCCGACCAGCTGTCACAGCCGGGTCTCCGAGCGGGACGGGGGAGGGGGGCTCACGGGGCGGGGCGGACGAGCTCCGGGGACAAGCCGGGGGTAGTGAAATCGCCGGGCGGGCCCTGACACCGCGTCTCATCTCTGAGCCAGTCGGGTTGCAGCTCAGCTGACACGTCAGGCATGGCCGAGACCAATATGCTATCGGCTAAGTCCTCCACATCAGGCATCCAATAGCGGAGCTTCCTTCAAATGCCACACGGCGGCTTCAAGGTGACATGCCACTTATCCTCGGAAAATTGCTTCCATGTCACACAAATGCCCGAGTGACGCGCCGTCCCGTGCGAATCCCAACCAGCCGTCTCGGCATTAGCCAACGTTAAGCATCAACCCACTACTTACAGACGAGCTTCCCACGACCCAGCGAACGGCGACATAACTGCAATGCACAGCCTCGCGATACAACGCGATACGAAGTTTACATGCGTATAGGTCACGAGAGCCTTCACACGAGACGTAATGCCGGGTTCACCGCGCAATGTTGTCGTGCTGTTCGGCGGGGGAGATGTGAAGATGAACGGTCTTCGTTCGCACCACGTCACACGCGTCCCTAAAAATGATGTGCTCCACACTGTAGTCAGTGCACCCCCCCCTCCCCCCCCCCCCTTCTCCATAAAAGCCACGCAGTGCTTCCTCACATGTGGGAGCTGGAGAATGCGATTCAAAACCTGTTGCCGGCGTGCAGGGGTTTGTTTAAGGGCCCTGGACTCCTGTGTGCATCGGTCTCACGACCCCTGACCTTGTACCTCTTGTGGGCCCTGTCTCATCTGTCTCGTGGCCCCTGGCCTTGTGCGTACCTGTCTACTGACCTCTCAGCCCCGGATGCAACCGCTGATGGACATCTGACCCCTGTGTACATTGTCTGTTGACCTTTGACATTTTCTGTTAACCTGCGGTCCCTGTGTACACATGCCTAGGCTCTGATTGCTGGGTGTTCCAGCCCGACGGCCGCACATCCACACGCACGCCTGTGTTGACCCGTACCTGTCTGATGGACTCGGACTCCTGATGCTCCAGGTTCAGCTTCTCCTGGCGCAGCTCCGACAGCTGTCGGTACGTCATCCGCCTCTGGTCCTTGAGCCGGCGGCACATCTGCAGCGCCAGCGTGTGGCGCGTCACCCATCATGTGCGCCGTCCGACGCACGCGCCAAAACAACAACAAACAGGGCAGCGCGCCGCGGTGAGCAGTCCTTGGTCGTGATCGAGAGCGCCCCGGTCGTGCCGCGACGTGAAATGTCCCGAAGTCGAGCAACTGTAACTACAACACCAGCATGTGCGGTTTAGTAACATTGCTACGCTGCCGACCCATCCCGCTGGCGACGACTGTCTCTGTGAGGACGACGTGCAGCATTACGTGACGAGTCAGCACCAGTACACGACCGCCATAGTTCTGCAATGCTGCCGTGCACACCTATCGCGTCATCGCAAAGTCCTCGCGGTCCGCCGTTAGTCACGCCTTCAACGGCCCCGTACGCCTCCCCTGTCACTCGAGGGACCGCCACCGCCGCACCAAATAACAACAGCCGTGGTGTCAACATACATGCTCTGGCTTCGTCATTGCTGTCAGTGCTGTACACAGAAAGCTGACCATTGTATCGCGGTCGCATGACTGACGCAATATCGTCCTGCCCTGACGTCACACATACCGCACTTGAGAGACGCACTCGCTACGTTCTCCGCCGCACCACTAACCGGAATTTTCGTCATGATCGGCCGCGTCCTGTCTTCCTGCCACCGTGTCCACCTGCGGCCTCACCTGGCGCCCAGTCACGTGATTACAGCACACACACGCCACCAGCACGGGCGTCCCGGATCACGGCCGCCTCTGCGGCGATGGTCTCACCTCGCGCTCGTCGTCAGTGGTGTCACTGAACGAGCGGCTATGGCGGCCCGGCTCGTCGCCGTCCAGCTCGTCCCGCCAGCTGACGCGGTGCGCCTCGTCCGGCCGGCCGAGCCGCGCCGCCGGCTCGTCGCCGCCTGGCTGTCGGCCGAGGCGGGCGCGCGCGCTGGCCGCCTCGGCCGCCCGGCACGTCTCCTCGTCCATACCCGTGTTCACGTAGCCGCCGCCGACAGCCTGCCAGCGCGGACAGGCGACGTGATGAGGGGGCGCCGGCCGCACGGCGGCCAGCGGATCGCCGGACAACAGGAGCGCAGCGGACGACTGCGACCGGTGCCAACGACGGCGATGGCTGTGCACGATCTGTTACAAGTCATTCTCTGGGCGGGAGTGAGCCATTGGGACTTTACGCCGCGCTCAGCTGCTGTGGCTTTATGGTGTCGACTGCCGCTCACACTGGCAGGAGGGAGGGCACCGCGGGAAATCGAGTCCCGTACCTCCGGCTTCCCGGACGCGCAGCGGTGGCGCAGACGCGTTAACCACTCCACTATCGACACCCTAATTCATTTTCTGACTTGCGACCAATACCAGAACCGTAAGCAGGACCAGCAAAACCCCACAACACAACGAACGGATTTGTAAGAATCAGTATCGGCTGGGTTGAGCTCGTGAGAAACTGCAAACACTACAGACAATCCCACAAACAAGGACCAGCATCTTTTGCTCGCATTTCGTCTTCCCCTCCAGTTCATTTGCAGCACAGAGCACAGGCCCGGGGACCATCACGTGCCAGCTGCCGCCGCCGTAACCGACCGGCAGAAAGATGAGGTCGTCCTGCTGGAAGCTCGGGTCCAGCGGCAGGCCCTGCATGTACTCCCGGTTCTCGAACTGCAGGCTGTGCCGCTCGTCGCCGTTCTGGGAGGCCGGCTGGCGCGGCGGCGGCACCGGCACCGGCGGCGGCGGCACCATGTAGACGGCGCCGGCCGCCGGCGGGCTCGCCTCCCGCGCCGTCGCCGCCGCCGCCGCCTCCTGGCGCTCGCGCTGCAGCGTGGTGCGGATACGGGTGCGAGGGCTCTGCGGGTAGCCTGCGAAGCTGACGTTCTCGTAGGGGCTGCGCAGGGCGGCCGGGTCGGCGGCGGTTGGCTCGTCGTCGGAGAGGGAGCGGCGGCGCGCCTCGGGTGGCGTCACCGGGCCCGGCGAGCCCAGGCGCTTGTCGCGCGGAAGCGAGCCGTTCGTCTTGATCCTGCAGCAGCGCGAGGCAGCGCGTCAGCTCACAACATCCGGTGGGCACATCCGAGCGGCGGCCGACCGGCGCGCTCCACAGGGTGCCCTGACCGGCCGGCGCCGGCCAGACCGGGAGCCGTGCGACATGACCGGCGCTGGCGAGCGGACGCGGCACAACGGCGACGCACGCGGGCATACCTGCGCTGCGCCGGCGCCGGCGAGTCCGGCGGCCGACCGGCCGGCGTCGGCACCGCCGCCATCTGGCTGTCGTATTCGGCACACATGCTGAGGATCTCGTCCAGCCGCGACTGCTCCAGCTGGTCGAGTGCCTCGGTTCGTTCGCGTTCCTCCGCCACCTGCCGACGCCGGGCCACGTCAATCGGGCTTGGTTGGGCCAGGCGGGCGCGCCTGGCACAGGGGGCTGGCCAGCGGCATGCGAGACAGAGGGGAAGCGGGGAGCAGGTACGCACGCCCACGCCTCAGCGGCACACACCGTCGACGGGGGTCAGAACGCCTGCCGCCGACCGACCGTCCAGCCCCAGACGGACGCGCAGTCTGGCTTCGGTGCGCAGCGACCTGCGGTTACCGGCTGACCGTCCCCGAAAACCACATCGTGCCGCGTCAGCCCCGACTGCCGGGCTTCCGTCGAGCAACAATATCCTAACCCGCAGACGTGATAACGTCCCGCCACATAAACTGCGGTGTCGGCTGTGCTGGAGCCAACGGCGCCCACTGTGACCGGACACCGACCATCTATCGTGTATGCCATACTGGGAAAAGGGACACATGCGCATATTGCCGCCTCGCCTCGCAGCGTGCAGCAGCAGCGTGACCACCATCGGTCACCGCATGACATGACGGGCACCAGCTGCCGCGTCACACGACGTACTGTGGCAGTTTCAACACTACCGCCGGCTATCACACGGCACCAACGCCCGCTTTCACACGACACTGATGCCGGATATTGCACAGCACTAACGCCAGCTATCAAAGAGCGCTAGCGCCGGCTATCACACAGCAAAACACAGCGCGACGGCCCGATCAGCAGCAACGCCGGCGTCGGACACAGGGCACCGGGCGCGCCGCACGCGCTGCATGGCCGCCCACACCACTGGCCGCGCCGCTATCACAGCTGAGGCCGACGCGGCGTCACGTGGCCTTTGGCTGGTGTTATCGCCGCTCTCGGGTCGCCGCAGCCGAACAAAGCCAGGGGCGGGCGCGGCCGGTCGCCCCGCCCCGCCGGAAACAGCCGGACGGCGGCGGCGCTGCAGTCAGCACCGGCGCAGGTCAGGTCAGGACTCGGACGGACACGGCTCTGCGGGATAGAGGAGCTCGGACAGGTTCAGCAGGTGCGCAGAGATGGCCACAGGCTGTGTAGTGAGCTGGCTGCAGCTCCAGTTCGGGGCATCACCGACGGACTGGGGGTTCGCTCGCGTGACATGTGCCGCCCAACACCGAACGACATCCTTTCGTCTCGGCAGCGCCGTCATATTGGGCGACGGGCTCGTTTGGAAGCCCGTATCAGGACAAACAGGGCCACCTGTGTGGAGTGCGTTATCAGCTCCTGCGCAATTGAGTGCAATATGGAGAGCGCAAACACGACGCTTGACCTCGAATCGGAAGTGGAGGGGGGGGGGGGGGGATCCACCGGCCCAACCGACCAGTCAGGTTACTGGTGGGCGTGGCGTGAGCCGAGCACCGCCGCTGCTCACTGCCACGCCCACCTCGACTAATGCTGACACATTGAGGCAAACAGTGCCTAGCTGCCCCGCCCGAGGTGTATGACGTTTCCTTTCTCTTTCGCTCACGACACATTTTCGCATATTGTTCCAAACCCGCAATATGTGATTCAAAACAAACATTCGTGTTGTTTCCGCACGACCTTCCTAAAAGGACACTGATATAAATGTACCATCCGTTCAATAGCATCCCTATCACGGTTAGATGGGCCGTCTGGGACAGATCATAATAGCTTTCCGTCAGCATAACAAATAACGTGTTTCTGTGCACGTAGCCAGATACCCGCTGATAATACACTTCGAAGGCTAGAACTTATATAAAAGTTCCTAAATACAATACATTTGGCTAACAAATTCAACCTAATCGGCAGCTGGGAGTGCGACAAACCGAAATATCTTCAAACACCTAGAAATATTATTCCCTGCTCACAGATGACGCCACTCTACTAGCAAACGCACCACCTCTTCGGAGCTCTCTTCAACTCCTCACGTGAGGTCACTGATTGCCCGACAGCCGTGCACCGCCTCACGGGGCAGCCCGGCAGCTGAGCGTGACAATCCAACAACTGGCGTGCTGACAACGCAAGTCGATTGCCACGCCGCCCGCGGCACGGGTCTGCCGGGTCACTCTTGCTACGGGATGACGGATAGACCTGTGCCGAACCTCGTCTGGTAAACACGTCAGCGCGGGGCTCGTGTAAACTCAACTCTGACAGACCAATCTGCTTCACGAGCTGCACATTCTCCAGCCTGTCAGTGGCTCCGTCTAGTCAGCACTGAATCAGCCGCTGGCTACCCGGCCATCAACCAGGAGTGTTTACCGGCACATGCAGCCAGCCCGCTTTCACCCGTACCCCAGCCACCCTTGTTACACCCCAACCCCTTTCGCTACGCCAAGGATCAATGCCTCCGACTAGACGTGACCGTCGTGCTTGTGTGCCCTTCCCAGTTCCTTCCATCACTGATTTCAATACAGCCGCCTAGTCAGCGGTGTACTTTCATGGGGACATGGCCGCGTAAAGGCCACGTTATTCGGCGGCGCGCAGGCAGGGCGGCTGATCAATACAGAAGCGCGAGCACCGCGCCACCCACACAGGCATGGGCACAATTTCCACGGGACGCGGGACTGTCTATGGCGGCACATCTAACCAACGGCAAGCCAAGAAACTGCGTATGAGGACAAGCGCTAGTGCACCTCACACGTCGCGCGTTTATCTTCCTGGACAGGTCCTGGACAGGGTCCGCTCCCCGGTGAGTCCCAGGGGCCGGGGTGGGTGCGCCATCCCAGCCGCCGTCGGTCGTACCTGTCTGTGCCGCTGCGCCAGCTCCTCCTCGGTCAGCGGCGCCGGCTGAGCGGCGGTGACGGCAGCGGCAGCAGCAGCGGCGGCGGCGGCGTCGGCCGGCCGCGAGCCGCGCCTCCCCACCGGCACGTTGTCGTACGGCGAGGGCCGGGGCGCGGCGCGCGGCGGCGCACGCGCCACCGGCGGCGGCACCGGCGGCCGCTCCAGCCGCGTGTACAGGTATTCGCCGGAGAAGGTCTGCTCGGCGGCCGGCTGGCGCGGCGGCTTGGGCGGCGCCAGCGGCGGCGGCGGCGACGGCTCGCCGCCGCCGCCGCCGCCGCCCTCCGAGCTCGTCGCCATGTGGTAGTACTCCGGGTTGTCCAGCGCTGTCGGCAGAGCGGCCAGCGGTCAATGGTCACGCGTGGCAGCGGCCGGTCGCACGCGCCGGCGGCGGCCATTGGTCCCCGGGGCTTTGTGGAGGCTTAGGGGAGTCCCACACTGGGTGACATTGGTTTATACGGCACGAGCTGCGTATACTGGATTCGCACAGCCGCGTTTCTCATTTGCATTTTGCATGGCAATGCGAGGAGTGCCGATCGCGTTAGCCCACACCCAATCCGATAACACCGTAAGTAGCCAACGCCCCAAGCTGTCCACCACCAGCACGATTTTGTACAATTCCATGGCGTAGCGTCCCTCTGCACTCGTCCGGGCTCGCTGTCCATCTGAACCCCCACCTTCCCGCCATCGCAAGTCGCCGGCTGCTGCATACCCGGATCTGGCCAGGACGCCGGTAAACACGGCCGGCTTCGGGGAACGCGTGAGGACAACGTAAACACGCCCCGGAGCGGCCACGGCAACGTCGCGGAGACAACGCGGTGCTTGACAACCGCTCCCGCCGAAACGGGATCGCGATAGCACCGGTCTGCCCCCACCTAGCCGGTCGCAGCAGGACCCATAACGGAGCTAACAGACTTACGACATGTGGCGATTACAATCATTCGTAGTAGACCACACCCACGTCGTAACACTCAAACCAGTCTTGTGCGGTAGTTCTGCGGGAGCAACCCCAATTACATCCCCGGTATTCGGAAGGCGCCGTGGATTTCATAATGGACAACCATTGCAGCCCGATACGCGACGTCAAACAGGTCTCAGTGAGGGGTGTCACGGCCTTGGCAGTACACCAGAGATTCCTGGGGATTACTCCGCTCAGCGTCGCACATAGGATTAGCTCTCCTTGGTAGGCGTGCACAGCTCATCACGGTTCAAACATTCAAAAGGGCTGCATATCGCTAGCATCTCTAACAGTTGAAAGAAGATCTGCACTCCTTTGGAATTCCTTATGCAGGGCACATGCAACATCCACGACCACTTTCTAAAAATAAACTGACTAAGCATAAAAGACGCTACGCCGTAGCAATTTGAGCATCCGAAAATCTCCATAGCTCTGGGAGTCCGTAAATACCGCATCAAACGACTCACGAACCTTCCAGCCCTTCATCCAGAACCACGGTGTTGCATCACCCAACCTGACTTTCCGACTGTTTATTTCCACGCCGCACACCCAAACGAAATATCCCATTGCCCCAACGTCACTGCTCGCTCCAACCCACCAGAGACCCCGCGACTCTCTGGCGGCTGTTAGCGACGCGGCGCGTGACCAATAGGCGTGCCAAACGCCGCGGCGGCCGCGATCGCTGATCATCAAAGCGGCCGCCGGCGGGCAGGCGCCGTGTCCGAGACGCCCCAGGGCATTGTTCCAAGCACAATAGTGGAGGCCGCTTAGGCTGCCCCGTGCTGCCGACTCGCGGCGGGAGCCCCGCAGACCGCGCGCGGCGAGTGTCGGGACGGCCGAGTACCAGCCGAGTTTACGCGACGCTGTAGGGTGCCGAGTGACGCCGGAGCCCGCCGCGCCGGCGCGCGAGCCGACGGCGCGGGCTGCAGGCCGGCCGGACTACACCGTCCGACTCAGGGACGCACGGCGACGGGGAGCCGTCTGTCGACCTGGCGGCATCGCACGCTCGCCGCCCAGCTCTCCAGCACACACAGCTGGGCCGGCAGCGGACCGGCGCCGCCTGAACCGGACCGACCCGCCGCCGGCGCCCGGTCAGCGGCAGCGGCGGCGGCAGCGGGCGGCGGCGCCCGGTCAGCCTAGCTCCTCGGCGGTCAGCTGGCGCAGCTCGCGGCGTCGGAGCCGGCCGAGCAAGCGTAGCCCGCTCAGCCGTTCCACCTCCTCCAGCGTGGCCACGCAGCGTTCCAGCGGCGCGTCGGCCGCCTCTGGCGCGTTCGCCACCACGAACGTCTGCGCCAGCAGGCGACCGCCGGCGCCGCGGTACACCAGCGTCTTGAACAGGTGCGTGGGCACAGCCACGCGCGCCGCACCCACCAGCGGCACATGAAGCGCCAGCGAGCCGTCCGGCTGGGCGCAAGGCGCGAACAGCGGCCCAGTCGTGAGCCAGACGGGGCCGGCGGCCGCCAGCCGGCGGCAGTGCGCCTCCAGTCGGTGCCAGGCGCCGCCGTTCACGGCCGCCGCCTGCGGCACCACGTTTGACATGAGGAACGTGTCGTCGAGCGCACGCTGGCAGCCGGCGTGGTTGGCGGCGGCAGCCAGGTGGCCGCGCGTCAGGCCGGAGCCGCGGTAGTCGGACGGCCGCGCCGCCTCCGCCGCCGGCAGGCGTGGGTCGGTGCGGAACGGCGTGCGCCGCCGGCTGGCGCGCGGCCCGCCGCCGTCCGGCCGAAGCAGCTCGCACGCCCAGCGTGCCACCTTGAGCGTGGCGTCGTAACCGAGCACATGGCCGGCGTGGGTGAGCAGGAGCGGGTCGCCGCGGGGCACGCCCAGCTGCAGGATCTGCCGCCAATCGGCAGCCGAGGCAAGCCACCGTCGGGCAGGACAGACGGCCGCCCCAACGGCGGGTACCACACGCAGGCGCGCGCACAGCATTCAGACACCGCTTGACATGCCGCAGGCCATGGTAGGTCTAGTTGAGCACCACATGCCACCTTGAGCTGAACTTGGTGCGAAGATCGATTACAAATTTGGAGGAGATCGTATTTCGGATTTCGGTCGTCGGGTCGTCAACACTTGCGTTATTTAGAACAATGCTTAACTACACCCGCAAAGGTGTTCTGTATCCCGAAAACAACTTTCCTTGAAATTACCAGTCTTTATGCACACGACAAAAACACTTAGGAGCCTCCGTGTAAAGAGGCATTATTGCCGGGGATGACAGACTCGGTAACAACATCCTTCCTCTCAATCCAGGGGTGTAATTTCTTGTTCAGTAGGATGGGTTGCACCCCCCCCCCCCCTCTGAGAGAAAAGCTACCTCGCTACCGCGCCCTCCAGGTGAGTGTCGCGGCGCCGGCGCCTGCGCCTCCAGAGGATACGAAGGACGAGCGTGAGGCCAAGGTCCGGGCGCCGGTCAGGAGCGGGGCGCGGCCTATGGACGCATCAGCGGGGGCCAGCGCCGGCCAGCGCCGGCCCTCCTGACCAGCAGCAGCGAGTGAGGAGCGGGGCGCGGTCGACGGACGGCATCAGCGCCGGCCAGCGCCGGCCCTCCTGACCAGCGGCAGCGGGTGAGGAGCGGGGCGCGGTCGACGGACGCATGAGCGACAGTCAGCGGCGGCTCTCCTGACCAGCGGCAGCGGGTCAGGAGTGGGGCGCGGCCTATGGACGCACCAGCGGCGGCCAGCGCCGGCCCTCCTGACCAGTGGCAGCGGGTCAGGAGCGGGGTGCGGCCGGTGGACGGCATCAGCGGCGGCCGGCGCCGAGCCCCGGCCGGTGTACACGTGTACCGATGGTGACCTCGCCGTCGGCGGAGCTGCAGCCCAGCAGAGCGGTCGCCCAGCGCCCGCCCACGGCTGGAGCCGCCGCCAGATCAGCGTTTGAATGTCCGCCGGCCTTGAGACCGACAAGTGGGTTACATCGAGCGACATCACTCCAGAGAACAGGAGAACAAAGTCTGCGTCGTGGCATATCAGCACATGGCATAAGCGGAGCACTTGGGAGACTCTGAATGGGAGACTCTGAAATGGAACCGGTCCGGGACCCCGACAACTGCCCAATCGCTTCACTGCCCTTCTGGCTATAATCATGCCGGGCTACTTTACGACGCAGATAACTGACAACGTGACCAGCGTGGCGATCGCATGCAGCTACATCGAGCCTCGAAAGCACACCCTCACATATCAATCTAGCCGCGGGGTGATGCATCACCATTTGAGCGAATCTACGGCAAATCTCAGCCGGTTTCCTCTGTCAGAGAAGCCAGCGCACGACATAATCGAAGATGATTTGGCCCAATCAAACGCGCTCCACGGCCCGCCACTATCTGGGAGACAGCTCACGTGTCTGCAGTCGGCATCTGAGCATGCACACTTGGAATTCAGGCCACCGGGACCATCATTTTCAGCGCCGTAGTGGAGTCACTGAGGCGCTGTCAGGACCACGACCCCACAAAACAGACACACAAACCACAATGTTTACAACGTCACCGCAGATAACACAACGAAGTATGGATCCCATTACCCGGTGCGAACTCCCACAAGGCTGCGCCGTGAAGTCGTGTGAGACTGAAGCACTCGCGTGAAAGCCCATCGCGCAAGCGGAGTGCTGCTGTCAATCCCACACGGGCACATCCCCACCAGCTTACCACACATCCTCATTAGTCATCCTGTCAAAACCGGCGCCCAACCAGCCGTCAGCAGTCATCAGAGCGGCATCAAAGCGATCCGTGGCCGGCGCATGACGTGCCGAAACGGCCCGCGGCATTGTTCCAACCGCAACAGGGGCGGCGCGGCGGCATCTCACCTGGCAGCGGGGCCCGGTACGCCATCGGAGTCGAGCCCGCACCGGGGCCGTCCGGCCACATCGGCGCTCCGTTTACACGCCGCCGGCCCGTGTAAATGGAGCGCGGCAGGGCGGCGCCGGGGCGCCGGGGACGCGTCACACGGCCGCCCGCCCGCTCTGGGCCGCCTGACGCGCACAACCCGCCCGTGCAGCTGCGCGCCCCGGCCGCTCCGGCCGAGTCCTGCCCGGCCGGTCCCCCGCGGCCACCGGCACTGGTGCTGACCAGCTGCGGAACACTGCGGCGCCGCCCGACCAGCCGCCGGCACGGTCACCGGTCACCGGTCAACGAAACCGACTAGCTGAGGCACCCGCTGCTCGATCAGTCCACCGGCCAAGTCCCCAGTCACCAGTCACACCGAACCCCACCGAATGCGACAAACACCGGCTTCGTTCAATCACCGGTCCCCAGTCACAGGTCACCGAAACCGACCAGCTGCGACACCCGTCGTTCGATCCGTCCGCCAGTCACTAGTCACCGATCACCAGTCACCAGTCGTCGGTCACCAATCACCGGTCACCGGTCACCGGTCACCGGCTCTGATCGGCCGCGGCGCCGCTCGACCGGCAGTCAGCGCACCGGCCCGCCGGCGCGCGCCTCACTGCGCCGCCGAGCGATGGGCGCAGCGGCCGCCTCTGCCGGGGCATCCGCGGCCGCTCGCTCGCGCCCTGGCGGCGCCGACCGTCGGCGCGGCCGCTGAATCAGCCGCCAGACCGGCTGCAGCGGCGCCCTGTCGCCGCCGGTTAGCCGCCGCCCGTCGCCGCCGCCCCCCGTCCGCTTTCGCGTCCGCAATCGGAGTCACGTGCGCGGTCGCTGGCGCGGCCGGAGCGCGCGCGGGCCCTGCAGCGCTGCAGCCATCGCGCGGCGGCGACGGAAACAGGCCACTTCCGGGGTGGAGGCGGCGGCAGGCCCGGCCAGATCGACAACCCGACGGAGCAGCGGCGTTCGAGAGCACACTTGGTTGGGAAAGCGTGCGCGGCGGTCACCGGAAGGCCGACACGCTCGCGGCGGAGGCAGCCGGTGGATAGCAGCCTCTGCTCTGAGGCTACTGGCCACCGACCCGTTTGGTGACATTTGGCGGCGGCACCATTCTCCAACAGGCGCCTTGCCTAACACCGGTACTGGGGACGAGCCCTCAGCAACATGGAACGAGCCTATCACGGATGGCGTTACTCATACACTCCGCGGCCGGGACACTTATCAACTCATCATCGTCGTTATCCCATACAGAAATACATTAAAAAAGCTCTTGGTAAATACACACAGGTTGCGACAGCTACGTCCATATGCCGGCGCAGCTGTCGCGATCATGACGCAGGCCAGCCTTCTCTCCAGCTCGGCCTGTCGCCCGCTCACCAGCCATTGACAGGTGGCGATGCCTCTATCGCCAGCGCTTTTTAGTCAGCTTCTTATTTTCGGCCCGCGGCTCGCCTCAGTGCGGACATACCACTGAGTCATACCAATAAGGCCGGCGGCCTGCGGGTGGCAGCCGCTGCACGTGGGCGAGCGGAAAAACAGCCGGGCCGCGCACTCGGCCGACACCGGCGCCGGCAACGGGGCACACGCGGCCGCATCGGTCACTGCGGCAGCCGGATATCCGGAGCGGCGCCAAAAGCGCGCGGCGGCCGGGAGACGCGGCAAACACAGTCATGGCGCAGACAGCAAGGCGCGCAAACACCTATGCGTGTGGTGAAGAGCTTTTCACGCTGGCGGTCCGTCCGACAATGAGCGGGGTCCGACCTGACATGACCGGAGTCGGACAGCACCCCGCTGAGAGGCGGCTGCTTTGGTCTCTGTTGGCGCCGTTGCATGGCAGCGTTGACGACAGTGAGCCGCCGGTTATGAACGCCGGTAGTCACACGACTGACGGCTTCGGTGACATTGCGTACCTCCCTGCAGGCAAATATGGGGTCTCCACGGCCAGGGCGAATATCGGGCTTCCACTTCAAGCGGGGCCTTCAGTTCCAAAGGACGACATACAAATTGGCCGTAAATCAGGTTTGAAGACCAGAGTATTTTACAGAGTGGAAGGTGGAGGTAGCGACACCCAGCTGGGCGTGACGTTGTCGCAACTAATCACCAACTACCAAGCCGTCCGTCACTGGCAAACGTCAGCCCATTTACAACTTGGGGCAAGTCCATTGGATGGTGGCGTTCGATTGCATTCGCCGTTTGACGGCGACTCGGCGATGCAGAGTTGTCTTGCCGAAGCCCATTTCTCACCTTGCGAAGGACGGGGTGCGTCGGAAAGCTGTTGTTTTGTTCAAGACGCGTTGCGGCTTTGACGTGCTCATACAAATAGACCAATAGCGATCCTCTATCGACTAAAGGCACGCAACCGGCGCTCCCCGAACACGCTGGACCCAGGGCACGCTTTGGGGTATTTTTCAGCATTCTGAAGTTTGGGGAAACATGTCCTCGATAAACACAGCCCGGATGTTTTCAGGCCGCTCGAACATCAGCACAAAACAAACATACCACGTTGTCAACATAACCAGGATGCCTTAAGCCATTAAATTAAATAGTTTTCTGGTGTTTGCAGTCATAGATGAATCTATCTGCTCATAGCTCTCCAATAAGCACCAGTGTGCTGTTCTGAAAGCCTGAGCCTGCTTGACAAAAAATCACATCATGTGTCTTTACATCGAGGAGCACGTCTGTGGAATTTAATTTGTTTGGGAGCGGCTGTGCATGCGTGAAAAGTAATGGGTTGGGGTGGCACTGTGAAGCAATCAGATGGCGTGCTGGCGTCCCGTCTGTTGTTCCGTGCACAGTTTAGAGATACGTCACACCACAAGTTTGCGTGCACGCTTTGTGCACGGAGAGGCTTTGTGCTGAGGTAGATGGTGCTTTGTGCTGAGGTAGTTCACTTTCAATAAAACGCGCAGTCCAATGGATGAAATTTCATTTTCAAGATGTGTCCATGTGTTTGAAAACGTACGCATAATGTCCTAGTTTTTCTAGCCGGCGTTGCCATTACTGTATATTGTTCTCAACCTTTGGCACCAAAACAACCTTTCTGACTTTCCTCTGTAGCTAGGCATAGTTGGAAGAACTTACTTAAGAGCTTACTTGAACAGGTCGTCACTGGTAGGTGAGATAGGAACTCAAGCTACAGTGAAATCGGGGCACCGTCTGCCAATGAGGAATGACCCTCATGCGTATTCGGGTTAAACACGTTGACTCAAACGAGTTATAAGCGGAACTCCACGAAATAGCTCGATGTACTGAATAAGACCTCAGCTGCTAGTTTGTTCGACATCGCTTGCCCACAGACGCAGCACAAAATACAGCGCCCAGCATACGTCGAAAAATTTGGAAATCTTCACATTAAAGCACTCATCAGAACAGTTTGAGGCGTTTCCTTTCTTGCCAACTGACAGGAGCTCCGACATATTTCTTATTTTTCACCAAAAGCAACGTTACGGACACATCTATTGAAGCAGTGACATAAAATAAATTATTGAAAAAGTGAAATAAAACACCGCTACTAAAATCAGAACATACAACTTCATTGCAGTGATTCCGACAGGCCTCGAGTGGTTTCGTGTAGCTTGCGCCCAAATGAAGTGCAGGGGATGCATATCACATGTAAGCCTCGTTCACGGACAGGCAAGCATCCGTGCGAAAAACGAACATGAACAAGTCCCGAAAACGCGCGCCAGCAGTGCAGCACGACCCTGAGGCACCATCTAAGTCAGATCGTACGTAAATCGCGTCACACGGAGTCCGCCCGTCCCCGATGTAACGATAGCTTACATTCGTAGGACTTGCTGTATAATTCTAGGTGACAGAACTCTCGGGAGGTGGACGTTGCAGCCTCGGAATGAGCAGAGTCTGACGCAATGCCGCTTGTGAGCTGTGAGTCGACTGGCCTGTCCAGTTCGACTTCACACATCACAACCCGTACATACGGAAAGCTGCGGGCGGAGACATGAGCCACCTCACCACAGAAACAGGCACTGCCGCCCCACCGCGAGCAGCCGCCGAGGCGAGCGCCGGCACCGGTCGACAGCTGGCTGCCGTCGCCCAGCGCGAGGCGCGGCGGCGTGCAGGCCCGGCCGGCGGGGCACCAGCCGCCGGACACTCACTCACCTGGGGCGCGGCTCATCGGCAGGTAGTCGTCAGAGGGCGCCACCGGCGGCGGCTGGTAGTCAGCGGGACACATATACTTGAAGTAATGCGAGCGGCCAAAGCACAGCATACAACCTGCGCGACATCGGCGCCGGTCAAGCGGAGTCACGCGGTCAGTCGCGGCGAGGCACGGCACGGAGACCCGACCACAAGCGACAGCGTTTGTACAGGGCCAGCCGCCGCACGACCATACGGCGGCGGGCAGGCCAAGCGGCGCCGGCTCCACGCGCAGCGCAGCGACCACCGCAGCTCAGCACAGGAGACAGCGGGGACCAGGGTCGGGCGCAGCGCACGCAAGGGCAACATCCAGCGCGGCAGCGCTCTCAAGAACAGGACGGCAGCGATAGCAGCAGTGCTCGCCGTGGGGATGTGGCGGCAGCGAGTGTAGCCATACTCATAAGGACAGGACGGCAGCGGCAGTAGCAGTGCTCGCTGTGGGGATGTGGCGGCACCGAGTGTAGCCATACTCATAAGGACAGGACGGCAGCGGCAGCAGCAGTGCTCGCCGTGGGGATGCGGCGGCAGCGAGTGTAGCCGTACTCATAAGGACAGGACGGCAGCGGCAGTAGCAGTGCTCGCCGTGGGGATGTGGCGGCAGCGAGTGTAGCCATACTCATAAGGACAGGACGGCAGCGGCAGTAGCAGTGCTCGCCGTGGGGATGTGGTGGCAGCGAGTGTAGCCGCACTCATAAGGACAGGACGGCAGCGGCAGTAGCAGTGCTCGCCATGGGGATGTCGCGGCAGAGAGTGTAGCCATACTCATAAGGACAGGACGGCGGCGGCAGTAGCAGTGCTCGCCGTGGGAATGTGGCGGCAGCGAGTGTAGCCATCCTCACAAGGACAGGACGGCAGCGATAGCAGCAGTGCCCATCAAAAGCACATGAGGGCAGACAACATAGTAAGAACAGGGCAGTAGCGCCGACATCCGTGTTGCGCTGACAAAAACGTGGCAACAATGCTGCTAATCGCAAAGGCCACAACGGTCGCAGCACCAGCAGCAATGCTGGGTCTCCTCACCATGGCAGCACCACAACCAGCTGTGATGGTGATGATGATGATGATGATGATCTGGGGTTTTAGGGCGCATCGACTGCTGTAGGTCAAGCAGCGCCCACGACTATCGATTTATGCAGGGCCGCCAATCAGGCAAGTGCATCAATCAAGCCACCCTAATCCTTGATGATCGGGCCTAGTATCATGATGAAAAGGTTACTGGGAAATCTATAGCGCGAAGAAACTGGAGCACTTTACCAAATTCGACAGCGTGCGAAGAATCACCTAAAAAGTCATACAGCGTGCGACTCAGGACGTAGCGTCCGAAGAACTGCGCTCTCGTTGCAGTAAGGTGACGGCAAGCGACCAGTACGTGATGCACGGTCAGCGGGTCAGAGCATCGACTGCAGCGTGGTCTGTTGGCAGCCAACCAACGACCAGCTGTGACTGCGACACTACCGGAACGGCGAAAACGCTAGGCACGAATGCACGCAAGCCCAGCAGGAGCCGCGACGACCAGTAAGCGTTACCAGATGCCAGAGTCGCGGCACAACCCAGGCGAGGTGACTGAATTCTACGCGATGTGCCGACAGCTGAGCTTATATTATGTCCATATGGCGGCCCGCGTCCAGCAATCTGGCAGCGCTAGCGCAATAACCGGGGAAATGCGCACCCAATAACTGTGCCCGATGGCCTTCCTAAAAGTGTATTGAACGAGGCACATTACTTGCCAGCTAACCGGCTACATAATCACAGCCGCTGGCAGCAAGCCCCTAAGTTCGGCCTGGTATCGGATGGTCGACACGGATGTATCGCCATGGTAACAAGCGTGACCACAGGATGGCGGCGCTGCACGGCAGGGGGCAAATATTGGAAAACAACGTAATTCCCAACGGGCGGAAATGAAGCGGAGTGTCGAGCTCGGCGTGGAATTCTATACGTTTGTAACTTTTGTTGAAGGAAGTGTCGAGAAAGGTCGAAAAGGAGCTGTATAAGTATACCTAATTTCCGTGCGCAGCACTGCGTCTGGGTAAAACATGTATAAAGATAAAGCCGACACAGCCCCTTTCCCCAACTGTGCATCACAAAATACCCCATGCCAGCATAATTTTATGAACAAGCACTGGGGAATAAACGTGTTACAAAACAGCAAAACCCTGTTCGACGTACAAACGCTTCATGTATAGAAGCCCGGATATACACCTGTCACAAGATCACAGCTCGCCTCAGCCGTTACAAAGCACTTCTTGTCGCAACTGCACTCCGTAAAGCCTTGAGACAGACGAAAAATACCTCAAGCAAACAAAAAAATAAAGAACACTTCACTCACACAAGCAAATTCACGTTTCACTCAAATGTATGTAGCTCGCGACTACCTCCTGCATACCACAGACTACATATAAACGTTCTTCACGTTTAAACCCTCACTTACGCAGTGCAGTCCGCAGCTCAGCTTAACACGCAGGCGCAAAACCCTGTACAAAATCATTTTCACTTCACGAAAACATCGCCAACATGCCAACGCGAACGTAATGCGTCTCTTGCTTACAGATCACCTACAGACACCAGCTGAAGCCTTGTTATTGCTAAAATAGAAAGCATTCATCAATTTCACACGCATAGCCAACCATACCGGAGCACGTCTGCCCCTGCACAACAATGGACGCTTCACATGACCGCCCAGGATGACACAGGCCCCACGTCAAGTAAGTCGCGTCAATCGGTGGACCAATGTCACGAGCACTGGCGCCTCAGGTCAGTACCCTGCTGCGCGTGTACGCCACGGAGCCCGATGAACAACTGTGCGCCAGTTGCAAGCATGGCATGGCGTCCGGTTCCTTTCGCGTTTTTTTTTCGTGACGTGCTGCAGCTTTTGTGTCTGCGCTTTTCCTCTCACGTTCTTCGAGGGCAGGGCAGTACTTTTATAATGCCGTAATGACTTGATGCTCCTTACACAAAACTTGAGACAGCTGCTTAATATCGCAACAAGTAGCAACATTGACTTGTGCGATTAGTCCCGCTCCGGAGGCATTATGTGATTAAAAAACAACAACAAATGAGTGGCAATATTCCAGATCCTTTCCATTGGAATTGTGACGTTCGTATTACTATCATACGCCGTGTGAATCATAGCCTACGTCACGCACAGCTCAACCGTAAGCGTTTCCCTTGTATTTGTAATGCTCTTCCCACATCAGCAACGAGGCTTGGAAGCGCCGCGTTAAGAGGCACAGCCGCCACAACTCTTTGTTCAGTCTCAGCCCTCACATCTGCTTCTCACGTGGCTGAAACCTTGCTCTCAAATCCGGCGCCATTCCTGGAATACGCGTCAGCCGCGTCGGATACAAAAGCGAGCGAGGTACGGCCGGCTCTTTCGGCCGTTGTTTGGCACGCGTGCCACCACAGGCTGGACTGCATGTGGTGGCCGTTTGGTTGGCCTGCAATATGCCAGACGCCCTCGGTGCCGTCCCTGAGTCGGCGCTGGAAGACAGGTTCATGACATCGACCCATGCTCTGTCATCGGCATGTCCCACGTGTAAACCCTATCCAGCCATGAAGAGAGCCTTTGGACCTGATGTGTTCCAGTTCATCAGCAGCTAACTTGTTTCAGATGGTCGGGGCATGCTTAGCTTTCATCGTCCATTTACTGCTCACTGCACTGGCTCTGTGGCTGAAACTTCGGCCTGTTCATAACGTACGCCATCATTTTACCTAAACTTAGGCATAAATTCCCCACGACAAATCGCTATATCAGGCGGATTAGCGGAAATGGAGCCAGACAGCCTGCCCGCAAGCTCTCCCGCACCTCGCTGTGCCGCCGTCAGCTTCGGCACGGTCACCGCTGCTGAGCTAGACAACAGCGGGCACTCACTGCTGCTGGGCCGGACAGGTCGAGCACGCACCGCCGCTGAGCCGTACACTCACCACTGCTGGACAGTACTCACCACTGCTGAGCCGTACACTCACCACTGCTGGACAGTACACTCACCACTGCTGAGCCGTACACTCACCACTGCTGGACCGTACTCTCACCACTGCTGAGCCGTACTCTCACTACTGCTGGACAGTACACTCACCACTGCTGAGCTGTACTCTCACCACTGCTGGACCGTACTCTCACCACTGCTGAGCCGTTACTCTCACCACTGCTGGACAGTACACTACCACTGCCGAGCTGTACTCTCACCACTGCTGGACCGCACTCTCACCACTGCTGGACCGTACACTCACCACTGCTGGGTCGCACGCTGCTGGCCTGACCGTCCAGTAGTGAGCTGGCTGACCGGGTCGTCGACTTACCGCTTGCTGAGGAGGACGGGGCCGGTGCAGCGGATGCCGTCGACGGTGGTCATGTCGGCCTGCGGCCGCAGCAGCACGCGGCCGCCGTCCGCCTCCAGCACGGCGTGCGCCGGCTCCACGCCCATGCCTTGGATACTGATGGTCGGGCGGGCAGCTGGCGCTCGGGCAGGCCGATCACCAGCCGGCCTGCCGCAGACGGGCCCCAGTCAGCGACGGCAGGCGGCCCGCGTGACCGGCGCTGGTCACGGCGGCCCCGGGCCGGGAGACCCCAGCGAAGAAGGGCCGATCGGAGACAAACCCCAGCCCCGCGCACGGGACGGGTCAAACTCGCCACGCTACCGTCAAACGCTTCGGCACAACTATTTACGGTCGGCACATCTCAGTTTCCGCTTTTATTTTATCTGTCTAGTGCATTTCGTATTTCATGTAGTAATATGGCACTAACTTATCAAGGCAACTCATGAATTCATCACAACGAAAGTACCAGCAGCGGCCACTTCCCGCACGTTCTACATTTCTCAGCGGTGAATTTTCAATAAGCAGCCGGGCACACGGATAATTATGATAAAATTTAACCACTGATCTCATTGTAACACTTGATTTCACAGCCGGAATTGCAACCGACCCCGAGCCAATGCGAACAACGGTAATGCTAGCCGAGTCACACCTCAGCTCTACATCACTATTCGTGCACACAGTAAAACGTAACCACCCAAAAATACGAGGACATTATTCCCGGACCACCAAAAGCATTAAGACATTCGCCAGTGCAGGACAGGCATCAGACAAGATCTCCCACCCGCAAACAGCGAGGCCAAAGCCGATGGAGAGGCCTCAGCTTTGTGCTTCCGTGTGGCTGTGTGTCACTGTCGCCGGCCCGCAGCAGCGCGGCCGGCGGCGCGGCGGCCTACCGTGCTCGGGCAGCGGTATGAAGCTGACGGACGAGCTGAGCCGGGAGGCGCCGTAGTTGACCAGGTGGGGGCGGCGCGTCTCGGAGCGCGTGCCGGGGTCGCCGGCCGCCTCCGGGCCGGCCTTGGGCGGCGAGTACTCGGAGTGCAGGCCGGCCCAGCGCGGCGGCGACACGCTCGCCTTGGCTCCCTCCTCCGGCATGGTGCCACCGGCGCTGCCGGACACTGGGCGGCGGTCAGCGCCGTCAGAGACGGTCGCAGCGCGCCGACGGCGAGGTGCGGTACCACCGGACGGGCGACACACCTCAAGGCCGGAGTGCAGGCGGCGGTCGGTGCATTCGTGAGCAGCCGCTGCGTGTCAGGCAGGATGTCAATCTCGGCAACGGAACACGGGGGCAAACACTGCTGGTCGTGAGTGGCATTTATCCCATTCCGGGATCACACGTTATCTTTTTCCATTTTCCGTATATTTCGTGCGTCCAAGTCCGTTTGCTGTACAATTTCCGTGGCCGTCGTAATGCGTAACACCCACTACAAAAACAGGACGTCAGCTCAGATAATAATGCAGAGGACACAGATGACAGCATAGACTGTAGGGACGGGTCGCCATGTGATCAATGCAATTTGTCCGAGCCCAGTTGGCCTAGCAGCATTGGGAAGCAGCTTGATAGCGTGCGAGCCGTAAGCAGGGCAGTTATACCGGGACCCTCTCCCCCTCACACACGACTGGTGACATCTCCACCCACGCGGTACTCGCGCCTGGGAACCACTACATAGGTGACAGCCTATGCTGTGGCTCAATAGCCAGTATAAGTTTCTTAAGTCATAGGCATAAGGCCAAAACAGTATGAGTACCCTAGGTCTCAAAATAGCTCACTTTGCTGCACACAGCCTCAAGTTTACCACATTTTGCTTGGATCTTGCACTACAAACCATTTACTGTGAGGTCAAAAATACCGGGGACCTGTGCACCCCCTGGGTTCCGACAAACCCAGCGTTGGATCTGTGAAGATATCATGAAACTAAGGCATCTCTAGACTTCAGCACTTGCCCACAATATAAGGATCTCTGAGCTGAATGCGGATAGAAAATAAAATTCAAGGACACAGCCAGGCCAAGTGCTCACTGACAGAAGCACAAACCTGTCAACAATAATCAGAGGCTGTTTCATATGGGCAATGGGAACTGGGAATACAGAATGAACTGGGAGGTCAGGAATCAGTGACACAGTTAATGGAATCCACAAGAGTTGAAATCACAACCTTAATTATATGGTTTTGTGACTCTTAGTGGGCAGCAGCTTGCAAGCAGTCCTCATAGAACATGCTGAGAACTCCAAGCAGTGCTGAAAATGTACTCTGAAATGGTCCAGTTTGGCCTGTGATGGCTGCATGCTGATTGTCCTGTCTGGAGCTCACTCCAATGTCATCAAACACTACGCAAGCAGAAGTTTGAGTAGCAGTGTATGGGTCAACCTACAGGGAGTATATTCAAAATCAGTGAAAAAAATCAGTGACATCCCAACCCAGCCATCAGCACAGCAAAGATGAAACAAACACATATTCATTTATTGGCTGATTCTTTCATTAAAACCATGAGATCTCACTGACTCCAACTCATTCTATTCTGGGCTAAGCCATGTGCTTATTGGAACTCAATATCCATCACAGTAGTGTTGAAAAAACAGTGGCCAGCCACCAGATACTTTGAATGATTGCATGCACAGTGATTGCAAATAAGCACAGGAACCATGTGACATGCGTAATTACATGTGAGTGTAAATATTGCACTTCTGCAATCAGGAAGCGCATCTGCAATCAGAATGACATGAGTCATGTCACACACACTTATTATTACTTGGTCAGTGCACTGGAAAGACAGCCTCTGACAAGGCATAATGCACACAGGAGATGCAAATCCATATCTAAGCCTCCATAAATTGGTCATCTCAGACCAATGGCAAACTTGTGAAGCTTTGTATGGTGAGTGGGTGAGAAAGTTTCACCTATTAACTATCAATTATTGATGAAAACAGGTGATCTGCTGGGCAAGGTACCCTAGCTTATCAAAGGAAGGACTCAACAAAGAAACTGTTGTTAAGACCACATGTGCCTTCAGATCTCATGATCCATCACGGTCTTGGTTGGAGCAGCAAGCAAGTCATAACACACCTCAACCTCTTCAGGGCTTTGAAGAGATCAGAATTGCAGGTTGTTTCCAATATCTGGCCATTTCAATGTCTTATCTGATGCCTTATCAGCCACTTCCAGCTTTCAGCACGTTGGATTTTTTTAGCTTGCATGTTCGTGCCAGGTACCTCCAATGCCACTTTATAGCAAGCTTAAAATGCAGGGATTTTGACAAGATATGTCAGATTTCTTAAAGCTGTCCAGCTTCAAAAAAGCCCTTAAACATTTCAAATCATTGCCTTTTACAAGTTTAAACACATGACCTGAACACTGCAATCAAAATTCTCAACAATCAGAAATATCAATGCAAAGAACCTGGGAACATGCTTGTTCTTCTAAAGCAAGCATGCAAACACACTCCATTCACATTCCATCACAATTAAAATATTGCTGGCATCATTGCCAAGTAGAAAGGACAGTAAACAAGCACACAAAAATCACAGTCTAGCTGGCTACTGCATAATGCAGATGCTTGAAGACACAGGGGTATTGAAATTGCATCATGTGCTGGAAAAGTTGGTTATGTTTCACAAACTGTCTTTCCCATATGCACTCCCCATGCAAATGGTGATAGGGACTTTGAAATGCCTTTAAAAACAATGTAAAAAATGGTTAAATGCTGAGTGGGAAAAACATTTTGTCACAAGCAACAACACATCTTATTCCAGTTGTTGTAATACTTGGGGCTTTTAAGGTGCCTCACTGCATAGTCACATATCACCCATAACATAATCACATTCCATTTGAAAACCTATACATCTCAAGCACATATGGGCCTGGATAAAAATCTGCACATGTGATCTATCTTGGGAACTATTAATATCTTTCTAATAACTGTTGTAACACATGCAATCCATGGTATCTTTGCTAGAAAAACTGCAACACTGAGAGGCTGATAGTGCCAGTGTGCAAGAAGGCAAATTGTAAGGTACCAGAGAGCAGGATTTATCATTAAACTCAAATCAACCTAAACACAAACAATTGCTGAACAAACACAACATGTTGTAAGAATCCCCTCCGAAGTAAGGCAAACCTTTTGATTTCAAGGTGGACACACAGCACACACACAAATGTCTGTAATTATATGGCTGGACAGGCCCCACATCCAATGGTACAATGCCAATGACTTCTACCATTGTTAGCTTTACTGTCAGTTTGAATGCTATTGCCAAGCCATGAGAGAAGTTTGGGTACTATGCCACCATACAACATAAACACTACGATCAAAAACAAATCATGAGCGGTTTAACAAGCTAGTCATCAGCTATGCCCAACACCACGAGATCGACCAGATGCCGAACCGTGTGCGTGGAGGAAGTGGACAATGCAGCGACACCATCATCACAACATCAACCTTTCAAGATCTGCCAGAGCAGAACGCACCATACAACAGGAAGGCGAAGTTCGCAGATATGTAAAATTTAACCAAGGTATTATACAATCCAACACTACAATATGTATCGCGCAACTGAGGGCTTTGAACCTGATGTTGTTTGTTACGACCGGCGGGCCCTGTGAGACAAATAGAGACAACCTGGCGCATGCAGAAAATGGTTGAAAGATTGCACTAAATATGTGTGTTGCCAGGTGTCCAATATTTGTGTGGATACACATGCATTTTAAAGTATTGCAAAAGCTACAGTCAAATGTATATTTCCGAAAGTCATTGTGAAGCCTTCAACAGATATTCAGACCTGTGAATGCTGCAAATTTTGGTTTATTATGGATTTATCTCGACATTATTTCGACACTTGTCGAGCACCGATATCACCGCATGGTGACGCATGCATCATTTGGCTTCATTTCACTTTTTATTTTAGCTTTGTATGGAAGAAGGAAAAAGGGGTTTTAGTAAAGTTCTTGGGAAATCCTTAGTGCTCTACAGAGTGGTCTTTGTACTTTACGTTTCTCAGAAATTGCCTCAACGAGAGCCGCATTGTCGCAAAACGAGTTGGGGGTTGAACGGTGAAGAACGACGCAGCCTTTTCTTAAAATACGTCAAAAAACGTGTCTCTCCCGGATTTGGCCCACTTCCTTTAAAAAGCTCAGGGACTGGCACCCATGCTGGCGAGGGCCTGGACGCCAACCCCAACTGCATAAAAAAACTACAGACTGGCCTTAACACAGGAACGCAACCAAGGCGGGGGATAAAGAACGGCATAGCCTCCTGAACCAAGTGCTCTGCACAACATATTGAACAGCTTATAACAGTTAGGGTCTGAATGAATTTGGTAACTGGCCTCTCACCTGTAACACATATGGAGACAGTAACCGCACGTGCGTATGTCCAGTACAGTTACCGCACTATAGCGCGGTCGTCAGGAACTGCACTGCGTAGTGCAGGTGTGCTGTCGTTAACAACAGTGGTGTATTTACTGCGCGAGACGGCAGGAGTGCCATTGACCTTCCACCTTTCATGCGGGGCGGATCCACGCAGGTGATCGAAAGGTGGGGTGTGCCGATGTTTTGAGGGGAGGAGAGGCCTTTGTGGGTAAGACAGACTTCATTTCGCGCTATTGAAAGTCTGAACGATGAGTGAAAGATATACCCAGTCGCCCAGCCCCTTATCTTCTTTCGTAAACGTTTGTGTGAATGTCAGTTGCAGCGATGTATGGGAAGAATGGATCCAAAACGGACCTGACCCTCGCACTTTGTGGGCGTTCGCTACACATCTAAATAGCATTATCCATACGGATGGAGAGCACACAGAAAAGCTGACGTGGCAAAAGTTAAAGTTGCCGAAATGAGCACCGCGCATTATGAAAATACCAAAATTGTTGCTACATGAAGAAAGCTGCTGTCCCATGGCCACAAAATTCCACGCGGTATTCCACACCGATAGACATGAAGACTGTCGTAGCCGTCGTAGACCGTCGTACCGATGTTTATGTCCGCATACGTCCAGTACCCCAAGTTCGATTGTTTGCTTATTTCAGAACGTTGGGGAGACGCCCGTTCGATACATTAATATCAATGTTTATCGCTGCATCTGGCGATCTCCAGCAGCTATTCGAAATCTGGCAGCACACCAGAAAAGGTACGTCGATTCGCCTCCGGTGGATGTGGCCGTTCTGATTTACGGTCTGCTGCTGCCGCATCTGACTTACCCTGCAACTGGTTCGGGGCTAATCGAATGAACCGCTTTGGGCATTTGGTGTGCACTATGAACAGACATTGACGATGTAGGAGCGCCGAGCACTCTGGACCCCACAAATGGTCGAGGGTCCGATATAGCTCTTTCCTAACGGCCCCTGGCTAAGCGGCCTGATCTCTTCTACAGTTACTGTAAGGAGCCCCCGCGCGTCGCGAGATGATCCGCAGGTCACACAGGCTGCCAAAGTGCTCGAATCGAACACGGGCTCCGACAAGTCAGCTGACTGCAGACAGTTCACGGACGGTGAGTGGTGACCAAGAGCCTGGTGAGACGGACTAGGGCTCGAGACGGTCAGGGGCTCGAGACGATCAAGGACTCGAGACGGCCAGGGGCTCGAGACGATCAAAGGCTCGAGACGGCCAAGGCCCTCGGCGCGGTAAGTGGGAATGTCCGCCGGCCTATTGTACCGGTCACAATGTGAGTAACTCTGCGTTGCGGGTGTACGGCACAGCAAAAACAACAGCAACAAGCCAAACGGGCCCCAGCGATGTAATCCAATAGA